TGCTGCGGGCGGGGGGGTCAGGAAAGTTTGGAATTTTTTTTTAAATAACGGGTTTTCGGTTGACCGAATTCCGTTCGGGTTCAATCGATCCGATCGTCCGTTTTATGCAAACGGTCGATTATTCGGACGGACGAACTCCGGATCCGATTGCGGTGTTCTGGTCACCAAACCCGAATAATTCGGAGTCGGAATTCGGTCCGGGTCCAGATATTGACAGTCAAGTTTCGCTGTTATGTGATTTGAAGTCGATTATGTCCCTTAAGTTTGCCATATGTTAATTGAACCGTCGGAGTTACGAGACAGATTTCCTAAATGAAGAGTTGTAGTATTAATTATGGTATAATCAACTTGTGTATATGTTGTGTAGTGTGTAGATAGTCCACACGAGCTCAATGACCTTTGACTTGAGCTCGTGCTTAATTATTTAACTGAGTTTGATCTTGAACACAAGTTTGAATTCACTCAAGAGCAATCTTATTTATTAAAAAGGAGAGAAAATTATTGTTATTGAAGCATTTAGCCATTTACTATAAAATACTATAAAAGGAATAAGCAATTAAATGAGATATGATAAAATATCATTTGAAATAAGAAAGAAAATATAAAATTTAAATGTTATAAATAAATTTAAATTAAATTTATTAAAATTTTATATATTTTAAGTGTACGTAATCTTAATATTTTTTTTTAACAAGCCGTCTCGCAAGCTGACGAGTCGAGTTGTGGCTATCTTAAGTTTAACTTATTAGTTCATTGAGTTCGGCTCACGAGTCTGCCTGACTCAATTACACCTTTAAGTATAATTGAAAAGACTCAAAATCAATACCATTTTATTGGTAGTCAAAGCTTCCAACCGACAGATCAAGATGAGCTATGCCACTTTAGCTAACTCGAATTCAGCTTAATTTGACTCAAGTCGGTTTAAATTCTAGTTAATTTTTTGCCATTTTGAAAATATTTGCTGGAGTAAGCAATTAATTCATCATATAATGCAAGCATGCAAAACATTTACAGATTTACTAATAATATGCATTTAAAATGACAAGATATATTTGCTAAAAAAACTATATATTTGTATATAATAACAAAAACTTTAATTTTATAACTACCCTCTTCATAATTTTAAAAATAAGCAATATTTTTTATTAAAAATTTTCATATATAATAAGAACTAATTATACGTATGTATTTGAACTAGTTTAAGTCTGTAACATTCGAAAATGGTATTAATTTTAATTATTATTGTTCTAATTTTGTTATAAAATAAAATTAATTTTAATTATATTAGTTTCTTTCTACTTTCTCATTATTTTTTAAAACTTTTTTAATGAAAAGCTAATTTTTACGGTCAGAATAGCTTAGTCATTTCTATATATCAACTTCACTATACATCAACTTCACAATGTAAATTAATTTTTTTAATTAATTTTAACAATGAAATAATTGAAGTAATAAAATTAAAGCTTTAATATCTGTTTGTGATGATTGCAATTTTTTTGTTAAATTAACAGTATCTTTATTGTGGGAAAAATATATTTTTTTGAAAGCTGCTATAAAAAATAACTTTTTAGCTTTTTTTTTTTAAAATAATGAAAAAAGCAATAGTAAAATAAAAATTGTAATTCTAGCCTAAAAATAAAATAATAAGAAAGTTATCTCAAATAGACCCTTATAATTCATTTGAGACTGCTGCAATTTTTTTTTAAAAGTGATTGTAAAGCTTTTGTATGAAAAAGTAATTTTTTTAAAAGCTACTATAGAAATTAGTTTTATAGCACAAAAATTTTACAAAGGCAGTAGCCAAACATAAATTATGAGTATAAAAAAAAAAAAAAAAAATGAGTACAAAAAAAAAAAAAAACCCTCAAACAAAACCTTAATATGAAGAGAACAGCGAGAGGGATAAACAAAATTTATCTAAATCGGCAATCCAATATGCCCTATTACTAAGAGCGATGCACTGAAGAAAAAAAAAAGAGTTGTTGGGCTCTTCACGCAGTGGATTAAACAATGTAGGGGTGTTAATATTTGACATGATCTAAAAATTCGACTCGAATTCAATTCAAAATTTTTTGTTAGGGTCAAACCGAACCCGAAATAGGTCGAGTTCGGGTTCAACAATTTGACCCGTTTCAAAAATCGGGTCGGATTTGCGTGGACCCTTTGACCCGAAAAACGGAGATTAGTCCATTTTTTGACCCGAAAACTAGCAATTTTTTGTTGGCAGCGGGTCATTCGGGTTCCCCCTTTTCAGGGGTTTTATATGTAAAAATTTTGGTGTCTTATAAATGTTACGTACCCTCTTTCTTATCTGATTCCATGTCGGATTTTCGTACAAAGCTAAGACGTTAAATTTTATATTTCTCTACCGCCACGAATACTCGAGGACGCAACAAACTTCACAATTTAAATTATTTTTTCTACGATGAATTTGAACAATGAAACAATTGAAGTAATAAAAGTAAAGCCTTAAGATCTGTTTGTGATTAATGTAGTTTTTGAGAGAACAGCTGAGGCAGAAGACACCAAGAAAGAAACAGAAAAAGGAAATTGTATTTCTATATTGAAGCGAACTACAGGGACGGTATTTAATACCGTAAACATGGCATTTGAGTAATAAAGTAAATACAAGAGGTTTAATTATGCTAATAGCCTCCCGCAAATTAAGCATTCGAGGATCGAATGGTTAATTTGCTGCGTAGATCGTTGAACCGAGCCGGTGACAGAGACTTGGTGAGAATGTCTGCGATTTGATCTTTGGAGGATAGGTGAGTGAGTTGGATGGCGCCGGAGCTAATATGTTCTCGAATGAAGTGGTAATCGATCTCTATATGTTTGGTTCTTGCGTGGAATACGGGGTTCTTTGCAATGGCCATAGCGGAGGTGTTGTCGCAGTGGATGGTAGTGGGCTTGGTTTGCGGTAATGTGAGCTCAGCAGCTAGGCGTCGGAGCCAGATGACCTCGGAGGCGGCCGCAGATAAGGAGCGGTACTCAGCTTCGGTTGAAGATTTGGCCACGGTGACCTGCTTTTTGACAGTCCAAGAGATGAGATTTGGACCGAGGAAAGTGCAAAAACCGGAGATCGATTTCCGATCGCTGGCGTCGGATGCCCAGTCGGCATCCGTGTAGGTGTGGAGGTCGAGATTTCCGGTAGTAATCGGAAGCCCGTATGATAGAGTCCCTTTGATGTATCTTAGGAGTCTTGTGAGAGCTTTGAAGTCTTGATTTGATGGTTGTTGCATGTGCTGGCAAACCGCATTTGTGGCGAAGGCGATGTCCGGCCTCGTGATAGAGAGATATTGCAACGAACCGGCAAGTCTTCGATACAGAGTTGGATCCGAGTAGAGAGTCCGGTCAGGTTCTGTTCGTTTGGACGGAGAGGAGCTCGGGGATAGTGCGGGTTTACAATCCGTATAACCTGCATCGTTTAAGAGTTTGGAAGCATAGTGAGATTGGTTTAAGAAATAACCTGTGGAAGTTCGAAGAACCTGGATTCCAAGAAACAAGGAGATGTCGCCGAGTTGTTTTAGCGCGAAATGGGAGCGGAGCTGCATGAGGAGACGGGTGATTGCAGGTTCATTATTTCCTGTGACGAGAAAATCATCCACATAGATTAGAATGTAAATTTGAATGCTATCTTTATTAAGAATAAGTAGGGAAGGATCAGAACGACTAAACCCGAATCCTTGAGCCTGAAGAAATCCGGTGAGCTTTTGAAACCATTGTCTCGGCGCTTGTTTTAATCCATTTTTTATTAAAAAATTATTTTAAGGAGTAAAAAAACCGTTCTAAATGAAGCCTAAATTACAAATATTTAGCTACTCCTAATTTTGCAACCTAAACAAAAATCAAGTAGACACAATTTAAAAACTTTAACCTAATAATTTTTTAGAAATTATTGATATGGGCTTCAGTTTAATAGTCTTAAAAATTGTTATAAAAATAAATTGTCTAATTTCACTTTATATTTTGAGAAGAAGATAATATCTATATTAGATTAAAATCTTTTAAATATAAATATCATATTAATTTTTTTTACATATATACAATTAAGACAAATGAACACATAAATCATAAATATAAGATTTGAATTCAAAAAACTTCTTAATTGATAGTCAAAATTTTCAATTAATAGGCAAAATTGAGCTACGCACCACCATATTAATCCTATACCTTAAAAAGAGTGATTTTAATTTTTTTAATATTTAAGAATTTATTATAGATAAAATTTAAATTCAAAATAACTTTATCAATTAAATTAGTTATCATTTCACAATTATCCTGAATTAAAAAAGTACACAGCTGGCCGAATGGTGGACCATTAAGGGAGAGCTCTTGCTGCGATCCTACCGAACTGGGCTCCCTCTCTCTACCTACTCGCTTTCGTCGTTGGTCTTCTCGACTGAATTTTGGGAAGAATTTCCCCCTCTCTCTCCTTTTCTATCTTCTCCGAAGTCACGTCGGATTAACCTAAGCAGGTGAGCGCTTTAATTCTCATCTATATTTCTTTCAAGGTGTGTATTGGCGTTTCTCGGATCCTAATTGCTGTTTCCATTCATTGGCTTCGATCGAGCAGTATTGCATAGCTTGGATAACTGTAATCTTCATCTAGTTTAGTTTTATTCCCAATGATGAATCGGCTTTAAGCACTCGAAATAGGGTTTATGGTGATTTTCTCTTGGCTATATGTGTTGGCGCCTTGGCCTTGAGCATCCATGGAGGTGGATGCTCAATTGTTTGTGCATCTTTGGAAGTTTTGATAGATTGCGGTTGATGATGGTGTGTTAATACGTGTTGTTTGGTAGGTTTGCTGGGATAGAAAAAGCTGAATAGGCAGGATAACTTTGGGGGTTTGTCTGTGCTTTGATGGCGAATTTTATGAAGTTTGTCGAGAGAAGGGACAAAATCATTTAGGGCATCAGATCTTGGTCACTAATTTTGTCTTTTCAAATACATGGCAAAACCAAAGCGCTTTTTCTTTCCAAGCAGTCAACAAATAAGCTATCTTGTATCAGTACGTTTCTACTGATTTTTTTTTAAATTTTTTTATTTTTATCGTTAGATGCTTGTACTTTATTGGAGCGGGGCGAATCATCTGGCGGTTTAGTTCATTTACGCATTAATTGTTGAATTCTGGGGATGCACATGTCAGAATGTTATATTTTTGTACTATATTTATAATTTCCCTTGCTTCTGACAACAGATGTCTTTAAAAAAAAAAATACGTAACCTTAGCAATTGCCAATTGGATTGGATGAGATCATTTTTTGTCATCTCATAGCAGTTAGATTTTTGAGCGCAAAATCTATGTTGGTAGAAACAATTTGTTAATTTCATCCCATGGTTTAGGAGGATCTGATTAATTCTTCCCATTTAGTGAAATTAAATGGTGGACCATTTTGCTCGATATTTCTCTTATTTGTTTGTCATTGTTTTATTTTATATTTTTCTATTTGTGCAGTTTAATGTTTTTCACCCTATACAGCAATGGGCATATATCTCAGTACTCCTAAAACTGACAAATTTTCTGAAGATGGTGAGAATAAACGAGTTAGATATGGTTTATCTTCTATGCAAGGTTGGCGTGCAACAATGGAAGATGCAGTAAGTGCGATTGCCAACTTCTTCATGTTTTAACATTATATATGTTGTATCTCTAAAGCATGATGCCATTGCAGCGACATTTAAGCTGCAAGAGCATTTCCAGCTGTTTCTAATTGAGTGTTACAGTAGCTGGAACATTCAGAAAATTAAAATATTTGATCCACTCTAAATGTTACAAACTCAAATAGGCTACAATCATCTCGTAGAAATGAAAGTCCTTTGTTTGAGGCTTCTGTCCCAACATAAAGCGGGGAAGAGTGCAACACTTCACTATTAGCATAGTAGATTAAAAAAAAAAATCTAGAAGTGAGAACAAAATGTAACTTTTGAGTTTGGAATTAAAAGCTTTCAAATAAAGGTGATGGTTGCTTCCTAAAACTACCCTGCTTGTCTTTTGAATGTTAAAGCTTTCAATTAGAAATGAAACATCGATGTTAACAATGTTGTGTCGCCCCAAAGTCAATAGTGCTCCAATCTAACTGTTTTATACTTCATACTGATATGAAAATCAACTTGGAATCATTCTTTGAATCACAATTTGAGAAACTTGTTTTTTTTTACTTTTTGCCAAACAAAAATTTCAAATGATGATAGCCTTTCAAGCCACAAATACTGAGCTAACTATAACTATGGACCTCAAAACCTTATGATATAGCTTGTTCAATGTATTACAAGTCAACCAAGTATACCTTGTCAAAGTCACCTTCAAATAAGATCATAATTATAGACAGATTATCGATTGATACAATAATGTCAACGATTAATGATTTATAGCCAAAAAATATGTTATCACATCTATTCAATCAAAAGACAGCATATAGTCCATTGTGCCATTATCTTGCAGCTTGCTTCCCTCAATAACATAGGGAAGAGGTGAAGGCCCTTTCTTTCCCATCCTCTTTAGTAATAACCAAGCTGAGGGACTATTTACTTAATCTTTTTGGAGATTCTCTTAGCTGCTACAATGCCTATATGTGGTAAAGTCCCATAGTCTTAAAGAACACACTATTTCACTTGGACATAGTGGACTATTGGGTCATAGGGGACTCTTCATTCTTGGCGAGCTTAGGCATGCCTGAACCTCTCTTTTGAATGATATAAGATTATATCTGAAAGTTTGCGAGGGTTGTTAAATCTATATGTACTTTAAAATGAACAATTTATGCGGAGCAAAACTAATTTTACAATAAAAAAAATCAGATATTTCAACCATAGAACAAATCACAGAATAATGCGGAAATTAAATACGAAAAAGTAAATAGAAAGAACACACCATAATTATAGTGGTTCAGTCAACTTGACCTACGTCCACTCCCCGGAAACTTCATTTCCAGGTATTGCACTAACAATAGTGTCTCTCCTTTTTCCCACATAGCAAGACGGAAAAGCTCTTACAAAATCTTTCTACCGACCTGATGAGGCAGAGTACCTTGAATCCTTTCACCCCCTCCTAGATTAGGCAGAGAACCTGAAAATTCTTTTGCTCCCTCATGGAGTAGGCAGAGAACCTTGGAATCTTTTTACTCCCTCCTGGAGTAGAAAGAGAACCTTGGACCTGATGGCAATGAAAGTCTCCCCAGAGCCATTAAGAAACTAAGGAAGAAGCTTGAAGAAGATGGTGGAAACCTTGCTTGGAGCAATTTTTGTGAATCCCTCACAATTTCCCCTCACAATTATCACTCTCTCTCAAAGCTCTCCTCTCTTCCTTCTCTAAGCTCTCTCTCATGTTAACTCAGCAACAAAAGATAAACTCAAGGATAATATGAGAGCTTAAATAAAGAGCCTCCAAACGAAGCCCTAATTTTTAATATGGAGGCACTGTTCATCCAGTATGATCATACGATCGTCCTGTATGATTAGTTCAAAAATATCAATTTAGCTAGTATGAATTGTATTGTCTTGTATGATTAGTTCAAGAGAAATAAAATGATAGTACCGGACAATTACAATATCATCCTGGACAATTAGTATAAAACCATTGAATTTCATCTAGTACGATACCTGACGATTCCTTATCATCCCACACAATTCTCTGTTGTCTAGTACGAAAGGGGTAAATCATCCTAGACGATTAGTTGAAAAACTATGGTCTTCTTCTGGAATGATACGTGGCGATCCTTTATCGTCTCATACATGTTCTTTGTCGTCCAGGATGATCTTCACCGATCGTCTTGTAGGATCGGATCAAATCAATTTTACTATAATTGTTCTCCTAATCACAGGATTAATTTAGGCATAATTGTCATATATCGTCTAGGACGTTTCGGATCATCCAATACGATATGAACAAATTTTGAATTTTGAAATCTTGCCTAAATTGTGATTGGCGGTTGATTTCTTGATTAAAATGTATCATCCTATATGATAAGGATCATCCAGGACGATTATCTTAATCAATCTTAATTAATAGAGATGCCCTAATTAGGATTTTATGGTAAACAGATCATCCATGATGATATAAATCGTCATGTACGATTAGTATAAAAATAAAAAAATTTCTAACTCTCTGACTCACTCCCTTGATTATGTGTGCAATGTTACATAGCTTTTGGATCCACCACAATACATTTTTAACTCAGTAAAGGTAAAATAGCTTGAAATTGAAATTACAGACTGACTCAACTCTAGTCTGCCCAGTTTTGAGTTGACTCATTGCAAGTGATATGTGGACCTGAAATGTTAGCACACATAGAAAACATATATGCAAATAAACTCAATTATCATGATATAAATAATAATGTTTGTTATCATCAAAATCACAATACTTGACCCCATATTTGTAATAAAATCCAACATTAGGCCAACAACAATGCACTGGCTATATAGGAGGGCCGGCCTAGGAAGGAATGTATAGGAGCTGATTTGGGTGAGATGTGGACTCCCTTGAGCATGTGATTTCTATCACTTAATGCAAGGAAGAGGCCTCTTAAAACAGATTCATGGTATCTAATCAAGTTCCTAATGTATAGTTAGTTTCTAGAGATAAATTGGGAGATTTTATTATATATTTGACATTTTGACTTTACTTTCTTAGGATTTGTTTGAATATTATTATTATTATTATAGCCCTTGTATTTTGTATTCCTCATAAAATCCCTTTTTCTTTCTTTTTCCCTAGCCTAATTGCAGTGCTAAGATAGGCTTAAGGGCATACTTGAGCTCTTCTAGCATCCTCAGCCAAAGTCCAATGCTTAGAACAACTTTGGGACATTGGGAACAATAAGGAACAACCTTTCTCTTGTTAGAACGAGTCGATAGAATTAAGACCAAGGTGTAATCTCTACACTTGATTTTCTTCCTAAATCTTAGCTTCTTTTTTTTTTGCCTATTGCTCTACCAGAGGCTTGCTTCTCTAATTTTGCAAATTTCTGTCCCCAAACTACCTTATATGTTCTTGCAATCATGATCGTTGTTCCACATCCTACGGATTGGTTTGAATGACTTTTAGGTCATCTCCTTGATTTTGACTCACTCCTTCGACAGGTTAAACAAAAGGTTTGTTGATATTCTCTCAATCACCTAAAATAATATTATAGGTATAATTGAAGGACCCTTGCAAAACCTAATATACTTGAAGTCTAAATAAAAATAAAAAATAAAATTCGCCAACTTGAAACACGACAAAGGAACCTCATTGCCATTACACAAGCTTTATTGTAGATTAATGGGACTTGCATGAGTTGAATAGGGGTCAATCCAAATCCCATTAAATTTAAAAAATAATAGAAAACCCAAAAAAATAGTGATCAAAATATCTTGACAATATTCAAAACGTGTTGATCATATATTATGCTCTTGTAGGCCATATGTCACAATTAAGGTAAAATCAGAAATATTTCTTGAATCAAACTCTTAGAAAGTTAAGACATGAACTGTTGTATAGTTTAGTCAAAGATTGTAATTATTGTTCATCAAATGACCATAATTTGAATCATAATTACAACGCAATTATAATATATTTTCCTATTTGAGGAAAAAGACTATCAAATGGTCTAATTGACAGGGTTTGCTCTTGAAACATCTAACCATTCAACATTTTATAATAATTAGTGAAACATGAAAACTAATCCATCAATGATTGTATGCCACATGACGTCATTTGGTGGAGCTGTTGTACATATTAGGCCCAACTTTCCCATTAGTTTGCCATGAACTATGGTGCTAACTTATAATGTGGCATTTGCCATTAGTCAATGTTTGCAAATCAAGCGATTGAGGAGTTCACGTGGATGTTAAACGATTGCCACATGTCATGAATGTGATATGCTATGTATCAACTCACATCGGGTGGTGGGTATCACCTTTGCCACCTAACACTTAATGTGTTATGCCAAATCATTACCTATGTCGGCTAATCAACAGGCCAGATCAATCATGCCACATAGCGCTTCCAGAAAGTGACACTTTTCATGTGAGTCTTGATCAATACCATGTTAGCTACCCATTGATCAGAATTAGGGAAATTACAAAAGCCCCTATAATATATTGACATTACAAATCTTCACTAGAATAATCCAAAATTATTATAGAGATTTGCTGAAATGTTACTGATGTAAATCAATATAGGAATTGCGATTGGAAATTAAAATGAAAACTATTCAAAGCATTGTCAAAACAAATTTTATTACCAACAAAATAAAGGATTAAATCGTTCTAGGTAATTAACTTGCTTAGGCGAAGATTTGCTTTGAGATAACCAAACAATTCATATCATTCAAAGATAAAAGAAATACTTAAATGCTCATAATAAAAATCCCACAATTAATAATAAAGAAGTTCACCTTGAGTACCCTTTCTCTCTCTCGTTCACTCTTGGGCTTTAGCGGAGAAGAAAGAACCATGCGAGGATGAGGAGCACCACTACGATGAAGGCGACGAAAGACTTTGTTACCAGAGAGGTATTCACCGGAGAAGGTGGTGGCGGATGGTGTCCAATGATCGTCCAAGCGTAAGCACGAAATTGTCGGTCGAAAATACTTGCGAGGATCGGGACAACTCGCTCCAAGTACTCTTCAATTGTGGCGTCGTTTTCAAATCCTACGTCGAAGCAAGGAGAGCGTAGGATATCAATGCTCCCGTCGGCGTGGAAAACTAACCCCCACTCAAGCTCCTGATCCGCCATTCAACATCGAGGAAGGGCGGGGAGATGACAAGGGGACGTTGGTTGGGCCGTGAGCTAGAGAAGAATAAGAGGAAAATCTGAATTTGAATTTCAGATTTTGTCTTAGGTTGGAGGGAGAGATTAATTGCTATGAAACCTCCCAAAATTTGAATTAGGAGGGGCGGGTATTAGGTGAGAATTGTGAGGGGGATTAATGGTTGCTTATGTGGCAAGTAGAGAGAGAAAACTAGGTGGAGGGGGGGGCGGCCAAGCAAGGAAGAAAGGGAGGGATTTGATTAATTAGTTGGGCCCATGGGATTAATTAAAACATAATTTGAATTTCAGGTTTTAATCAATTAAAAGGAATTCAAAATTTGAAATCAAAACTGATGAGATTTCATTTATCTCTCCCTAAATATAAGGCGTTAATTTAGGAAGGATTAATGAGGGAATTAATGCCAAGAATTTGAATTTCCCTGGGCTGGGCGGCGGGATTTCCTGGACAGAGGAGGGGGACGGGCTATGGGGAGCGGGATGTGGTGGCTGGATGGGGCCGGTGGCTGGCACAGCCGGCGGTAGAGGGATGGGGAGGGGCTGAGGCGGCGGGATTCTATGGGGAAGGTTGCAGGGAGGTGAGGAGGCGGGCTAGGCTGGGCCGGTGGCTGGATCAGCCGGCGGAAGGGAGGAGGGCGGCCTCCTATGCCGACGGGCTGGGGGAATTTTGGACAGGGTGGGCTGCAGGGAGGTGGGGAGGTGGACAGTAGGAAGGACCGGGTAAGGAGATTTAGCGGGGAAGAAGAAAACAACGAACTAATTCAAGAGAACTAAGAGCTCACCGGCGTGGGCTGTTGGGTAATTCGGGTGGAGCCTCTCCTAGGTCTCCTCTCTCTCTTTCTCTCAAGCTCCCAAGCAAGAAGAAAAAGACAAGTTTCAGAAATTTTATTAATCGTTCATCATCCTCATACAACAAGAAGAGACCCCTTTATAAAGGTCTCAAAGCATGAAAAGAAAAAAGACTCACATGCCCCTTGGGCTACAACAAACACTACACCTTCATAAGGGCGAAATCGTCACTAGTACATGAAATAAAAGATGCATAAAATAAAATAACATAAAAGACATGACAACATCAAAAATATAAACTCCCGATCGTAGTTGTCGATCTACGATTCCTTCGTCGATAAACCTGCCTAAAATGTCTGTCGATGACCTCGTCAGTTACAAAAAATGCCCATGGATTTTGCATAAAAATATCATCTACCTCTTTAAAAGTAAGAGCATTATTGACCTTTTTACCGTCTAGTCATGACTTTCACTGGCCCTTTTTATCCTATTTGTATACAGTAGTGCAATTTATCCCATTTGCATGCGATGTATTGCATCTTCAGAATTTTATGGTTCTTGTGTCTTACCTTTTTGTATTCTTTATCTTTTAGCATGCCGTCATTCCGAATCTTGATGACTTCACATCATTCTTTGCCGTTTATGATGGCCATGGAGGTATGTTATTTACTCACTTTGTGCCTTAATTAACCATATAACCTAGCCAATTTTGTCATTATATCTTAGTAAGTCAATTGTTTCTATGCCTGTTTAAACTTTTGCTTCAGCCTTAGTTTTCTTTACTTGAAATACATGCATATTTGCTGGATGCAGCTAGGTAATGATCTATACTCTTCTGTGCGCAAGTTGAAATAACAGTTTCTTACATATGCTTCACATTTATTTCAGGGTTTAATTTACTGCGAGTTGGTGGCCCAGTTAATTAAATGTGGTCAAAATTGCTCTCTATATGTTTAATTAGGTGCAAAATGCATTTACTTTCTAGCAGGCGATTTTTTTTTAATTTACTATGCAACAACGCTTAGAAGAGATATTTTGAATAGACACAACAAAAACTGCTGCCAACCTAACTACTCCTTCCATGTTCCGGCCTTGTCGAGCATTCTCTAGTTAGATGTGTGATAGGCCGGTCCCTGGACTGGCTGGACCGGACTGGTCCAAGTGTTTAGGAGGCGGAACAAGGGGGGCTCCGCCCCCTCCTTTGCCTCTTAGGCTTGTGGGTCTACAAGTTTAATTAGGGAGGGATTTGAGGGGTGGATTAGGAGGCAAAATTCAAATAGGAAGGGTTATTTTGGGATTTTACTTAATTATTGCATGCTTAAATAAGTTTAGGAGGTTGGGTTAGATCTTATTTCTGATTTTTGCTAAAATTAGGGTTCTTGTGTTCTTGAGCAGGCTATAGCGGCGTCTAGAGATTTGGGAGAGACGGATCTTTCTCTTCAATTGAAGATCCATTGTATCTTGTTGTTTTTCATCTACTATCAATTAAAATGCTCAATTTTTTATTTTTCCTCCAAAGTCATTGCGACCAATTGCTGAAATTAAATTTCAGCCAGGAAATTTCTGATTTTCTACAAGCATTTCCTAACAAATTGGTATCAGTGCCCTTCGATCTAAGGTACTAATGGCCGGAAGGAAAATGGAAGTGTTGGAGGGAGAATTAGGACAATTGAAATCAGATTTTGTGAAAAAAGATTTTCAAACCCAATTTGCATATGTCCATGAAAAGATGGATGGAAAATTTGCCGTCATGGAAGACATGCTGAAGAAGTTGCTTGAAGCCAAAACCAATAAAATGACATTATAAACAAAGGAAGCCACCGACGGCCAAGGAAGAGGAGGAAACCCTAATCCCCTTACGGGAGGGCAGAATGAGGGGGTGGAGATTCTGGAAGGAGAAGATGAGCTGCTTTCGCTAGATCCTATTTCTAGGGAAGAGATGAGTATTGGATACAAGCAAAGGGTTGTGGAATCTGCAAGAAGAGGGGTGGATTATGAGTGTCAGGGTGTTGATTTTGAAAAGAGGGGGATTTTGAAGAAGGGTTTGGGTACGAGTGCAGAAGGGAAGATTGGGATAGACGAGGCCCCTTTCTGGGAATGAGAGATTACAGATGATTCAGGGGAAATGGAAGTGATCTTAGGGTAAGGAAGTTAAAGATGCCCATCTTTGAAGGCGAGAATGCACATGGGTGGATATGCAAGGTAGAGAGGTATTTCACCATCAACGGGTTGACGAATGAGAAGAAATTGATAGTGGATAGTTTGTGTTTAGTAGGGAAGGCTTTGGCCTGGTACCAGTGGAGAGACATGAGGCGGCCCATTCAGAGTTGGAGAGAGTTCAAGATCTGCTTACTAGAATATTTTCGAACCAATAGGAGAGGTGACTTCTATGAGCAATTCTTCACCCTAACGCAGGAGGGTTCTGTGGTGGAGTACCATGATTTGTTTGAGTACTTAGCTAGCCAGCTGGATCAACTTCCTGAGATTGTGTTGGAGGGAAACTTCATAAAGGGGCACAAGCTCGAGATTCAGATAGTTGTTAGAGTGATGAGACCACATGACTTGGGGTAGGCTATGGAGCTTGCGCAGTTGGTGGAGGACCAAAAGTATTTGGAGAGGGGGGCCAGAGGCATCAGTTTAGGAGGCACATACAAGATGACCACTACTTTCTTAGCTCCTAAAGGACCAGCATCAGGAAACCTTCGTGAGGTCCTAAAGTAGAAGCCTGGAGGAGGTGGATTCAAGGGAAACTTCAAGAAGCTCACTGAGAATGAGTTGCAGGAGAAAGGGGCGAAGAGATTGTGCTTTAGATGTGATGAGAGGTACATGCCGGGGCACAGATGTAAGGACCGAACTCTTCAGGTTCTCACTGTCTGTGATAACGATGAAGCTGAGGGCGGTGAGAGTGAGGCAGTGGTAGAGGAGGAGAATTTACATTTTGACATGGCCGAAGTCTCCTTAACCGCTAGTGGGGCTTGGGATTGCATCTCCATGAGCTTCTTTATCATCTCTTCTATCCCTCCCAACGGCCCTCCATCCGATTTTTCATAGTTGAAAACCTTTCCTCCATTCGGATTTGATTTGCTCCACTTCTCCTTCCAACTCCACCTTCTATGCTTCCATCTCTCTCAAAATCTTGCTTTGATACCAATTTGATACGTCTTGGAGACAAAAACAACAAACACAATAAAAAAATGCAGTAATATGAATATAGATGACAGATTATTTATTATAAATTCAATTAAAAAAAGATACTAGCGATCTACAATATGAGAGGTAGATTGACTCTCCCAAACAACTTAGACGTCTTTAGGAAGCCCTTGCGAAAAGAAAACTACAACAACTCTCAAATAAAATTCTGCATGAACAAAACAAACACTAAACTTAGCCTTTAATAAGCTTCTCATTTTTCCCTCTTAAATCAGCCCCCTCTTTTCCTAATTTATTTTTCTCTCTAATTTGAATTTCAATTAAGAAATCCTTCCTAATTAATCTCTTTCTAAATCAGCACCCCTTTCCTAATATATTTTTACCTCTCCAATTTTAATTTCAATTAGGAAACCCTTACTAATTAATCCCTTCCTTAATTACTCCTCTCATATATGTAATGATAGGTTTGATGGGCCCCACAATGAATCCCTTGCCCTTTCCGCCCTTGGCCTACTGCCCTCTCCTTTGTCAGAAGATTAGTGAACTTAAATAACTCAAAAAGGGGTGAGACAATGAAGATGAGAAGAGAAGAGAATATGAATTTTTCCTAAAATTGGAGTTGCGTATCTTCGGCGTTGTTGCCAGCATACCTAGGAGCTAAAAACAAACTACCTCGCTTGAGATCAAACTCCATCATAGTTTGCCAATGGCTCTAGCTTTTTTTTATATCACTCGGGATGACTTTCTTTGCTAAGAAGATCTTACCCTAGCTAGGTCTAGGGAATCGTTTAGGCTATGCTGCCTTTGGTATGCGTAGCTAGCAGTTCCTAAAAGACTTCCTCTTTTTGGTGCAGATTGCAGACTTGTTCTTTGATCTGTTGTGTTTGTCTTCTTTTAGGGGTTATATGAAATGTGCTTTAATATCAACGATATCCTCCTCACTCTTCTGACAACGTCCTCTACAACTTGCCATGGAGACTTTGTTGACTTTGCATTGATGTGCTACATGTCCTCTTCCATCCCCTATTTCATCTAATTTTTGGATTAAGGAGACATGTCGCTTCCTCACCTCCAGAGGTGACTTCTCGAGCCTCCAATCTCGCTTTTCCTGTGGCATAAGAAAATCCCTTTTGGAAGCAATAAGGAGCAAATGTTATCCATCTTCATGACCCTTGCTCCTTCCTGATTGTGCATACGGGGGATCTTTTGCCAGCTAACCTTTTCCCTTGCTCCATTTTTTTCTGTTTATTTTCTTATCCTCCTTTCTTTAATTTGGTTAGGATCCTTTACCCTGTGGGTGATCCAATTAGAGCGGGCACTGCATATGGGTAGGACGTTGTAGCCCTCGTTTAAATTTGGATACAAACTATTTTAGTGCATCTTTGATCAAATTTTATATTATGTCAATTCATTTGTTGCCAAATTTAAAGTGCTATAATCTCAGAAAATTTCAAAAACAAATCTGGTGTAAATCCTAGGCTTGCAAAATTTTCCATACAATTATTCCCACCTCTAATTGGTTCATGATTGTTATAAGTTTTCAATAGATGTCTTCAAGGTGTTCTCTATTGAAGATTGGTTGATAATTGACGATTGCAATGGTGGCTGACATCAACTTTAAGTATACTAATGCCATTTGGAGGTGGTTGGTGGATTGAGGACAATTGGGTGTGATTGTACGTTAGCTTGTTAGGTGAGCATTGACTGCTTGTTCTTCTAAGGATAGTTCACTAGTGAGGAGGTCGATTAGCATAGAAACCTTTTAAAACTACAATAAGTGCAAAAAATTCTAGATAAGAAGTCCATTTAGTGGACGAAGGTACGCTGCCTGTGAAGATAAAGAAGTGGTTGGAATGTTTCAAATTCTCTTCCAATTATTTTGAATAAACTGCAGAACTACTAAACATTCATATATTAAAAATAAACTCATCCACAAGATTTATTTCATTTCATCAATATGTATCAACACTATAGTACATGGCTACATGTAGAAGTTACAGAACTGAACTGAAAAATAAATTAGCCATAACTATGCAAAAATCAAAATAGAAATACCTATAAACTCAGATCTGATCATGAACTGCTAATCAACAATCTCTTCTCCCTTGCTAAATCCTGAAAACCAAAAGCAAAATCACAATGAGCTACAACAGCTTAGCAGACCATACAAACCAATCTAAATTTGCAAATTCTTTTATTAAATATTTTACTGAATATTTAAAAGCAGTTAAATACAGTCTAATAAATTGTTGAAAATTTAAAAGCAGTTAAATGCAGTCTAATGTACTAAAAAATGTAATAGGAGCATAACATTTATCCAATTATTTAAATAACAATACTGAGTAGATAAATAAATTGCAATTCATATCATAGGGCAGTTCAGATCACATTTCCTTGATCTAGACAAAATCTCAAATGATTCTGACTACTTATGACTCAGTTTTGTGCTTATAGCACAAAAATATCCCCTTAGGCATTATAACATATCTTAAAGCTATTATAATATAGCTTTTAGGCACCAGAATAGTCCCTGATACAGACAAAATCTTAAAGAATTCTGGTCCCTTATCTCTCCCAGCAGATATATAATTTAATCACATAAGCATATTTTTCATCATATTATAGCAGTTAAAGCGTAATTGAGCATGTATCAGAATTGTATAGTTTTTTATAACGGTAGCCAACAAAAAATTCTACTAAGAAAAAAATGCACATTTTCAAAAAATAATGTTTTATAACTTTTGTTGTACTATAACACAATTCTTTAGAGTCTAGATAATTTTCAATTCAATAAAAATCCCACAAATTTTAAAACCCATGTTTAAAAAATTTCAGAAAATACTCAAAACGTTCGTAATCTCAATTTCTATTACATATAAAAAGTTACGCGGTGAAAGTTTTTCCGTGCAAAATTATTCGTGTTTTTCACTAACGAAAATAGAAATTTGATCGGAAAATTAGATAAAAACTTCGTAATTTTGAAAATTGAGATAGACATAATGCGACCTACCTCGAGACGAACAAATTTCTTAATTGGGTCGATAGATGAAAATAGCTTGAAGTCGCCCAAAACCGAATTTCTATTTACTTTCTCCTCTCTTTTCTCTCATTTTTTCCCCATACCCTCTTTGTTAGCAGAAAATGGCTTTTTGGAAATAAAAAGTGGCATTAAATAAAGCCATTATGACTTTAGATATATATTTTTAATAAAATAATAATATTAAAATCAAATTTTCACTATAAAATTCATAAAAATTCTTTTAGGAACTCCAAAAATTATAGAAAAATATCGATAAAATAGCTCATTTTATTTTCTGGTGAAATCGGTTTGCAAAACAGACTTTTGACGGTCTCAAAAACTCCACTTGTACCTACATGTGCTAATTTCTTCAGACATTTCACCAGTGTCCAAAAATTATGAAAAAAATAGGATAACTAAAGCACTATTCTATATATGTTTTGGTGAAGATGGATTGTGATTTGGATCTATAATGAATCCTGAAATAATCATTGAATATTCTAGGTAAAAAAGTCTTTAAAAAATTAAAGGTTTTCACAATTACGGTTAGGATTGGTCCAGTTTTAGATTAAGTGGTTACACAAAGACACCACATCGGTGCCAATTCTTATATAAAGATGTATAGGATTATGTATAGATGCATCCCTTTGTATAAGCCCAAGAGCTCTATTGAATAAGAAGATCACTATTAGCTCTCATTCCATCTCTCTCCATTCTCATTCAAGAAGTGTTTTCTTCCTCCAAAAATTGTATAACAGTTACTGCGAGCCAAAGCAACTGTGTTGCCAAATACGAGCAATATGTCCAAATCTCATGCTTTGCTGTTTTCTTTTGTTTGAAAAATTTGGAATGAATCTTTGATTGGAAGAGGATTTGGAAACTAAGACATTGATTTCAACACCCTTTATTATAATCTTTGGTGCGGGCTAGAAAATACGCGGCGATAGAGATTTAATTCTACGTCTTAGCGTTGTACGGATAACTAGCTCATACACAGAGAAATCAAGATTTTTTACGTGGCAAAACCCTTGAAAAGGGGAAAAACCACGAGGCCTAGCCCAGTTGAAAATGATTCCACTAGACTTTGAATCGGTTACAAAGTACTGAATCTCCTCTAAGGGCTGTCAGATTTACAATTAGTAACTATTCTATAGGAGTCAGGTGTTAGACCCAGTGTCACTTGGAAGTTCGGGTGTTGACAGTTTGGCCTTGAGCAGAACAAAGGGCCCTCAGCAGAACGTCGGGTCTTAGCGTCGGGCCTGAACGTCGGGCCTTAAGACGGTGGTGCAATGAAAACTCCGGTGGTGGTCCGACGAGGTTCCTGCGGTGGTCCTGCGGTGGTCCGGCGGCTGTCGAGGAGGACCTTCTTCCTTCTTTTCTTCCTTCCCTTCTCTTCTTCTCTCTCTTGCTTAGATCTTATCTTGTGAAGAATGAGGGCTCTATTTATAGATTTTATGGAGTGGCATGACCCGTAAATAGGTGTGAGATCAAGGGCGAATAGGGAGTGGTTTGAATGGACGGCCGATAGTGAACCCTTCGATCGTGCACCGTTCGTTGGACATTTGGAGGCCTTAATGATGTCGGAATTCGGCGATCTTGGGCTCGTTGGATTCGTCTCGTCGAGCCGTTCGATTCGAGTATAAGCTCGTCAAAATCGGAGACCGTTTGGTAACTCAAATTGCGGTTTGAACCTTCCGACAGCACTTTGAGCCCTTGATTTGGACTCATTTGGGCTCGGATGGGGTTGAACTTGGTGTTGTCGGGTTCGTATTTCCGAGACGCTCAGTTTGACTGTAAGCTCGCTGAAATCGGAGTTCGGGTGCTCCCAAAATTAATTTTTGAAGTTTTCAACTAGCTTTTGCCTCGAGATTTGTGCCCGATCAAGCTAATTTTTTGATGATGTATCAATCTTATTATAATTTGTTTCTATTTCAAGTCATTTTCCATGTGCTACTAAGACCTTCGTAATAATGTTATCATGCTATATCAGGAAAGGTAGTTGCAAAGTTCTGTGCTAAATTCCTGCACACCCAAGTGCTTAAGAACGACGCTGCTTCTCCTGGAGATTTAGGGGCCGCTGTTCGGAAAGCTTTCTTGAGGTATGCTTTTGTTTTTGTTAATTTAATGCTCCCTTGGATAGTGATGCTTGTAGATTTATAAAAAACTCTTTGGGTGACACTGAAAAGGAACCTTTTTTATATTTCTTTTTTTTTATTATTCTATAGAATGGATGAGATGATGAGAGGACAGAGGGGATGGAGAGAATTAGCTGGAGTTGGGGATAAGATGCATAAGTTTACTGGTATGATCGAAGGTCTTATATGGTCTCCAAGAGGCGGTGATTCTAAGGGCCATGAAGATGACTGGGCTTTTGAAGAGGTAACATCTCCATATGGCAATCATCTTTCAGTACTTCGTTATCACCTCTGTCCTCACCTAAGATAATGCAAAATTACACGCGTCATACTTTACCAGGCATGAGTGGCACCATAAATTTGTTGAATGGCAAATTATTTTGTTGTATCTATTTCAGTATCTATCCAAGAATTCTTAAAATTTAGGGGAAATTAACCTGAGGCCTTGTAGTTGGTCATCATTTATTTTTTTAGTCTTGTTGCAGGATGACTTGTGATTTGATTTTCTAATGCAACTAATATAATGCATATTATGATTTTAAGCAAAAAAAAAAAACTTAAGAGATCTGTGGATCTCAAGCTACCAATTAAGCTTACTACTTTCTTTAAATGTAAACAAGCAATACTAGAGTTTAAAATTAAATGATAATGAAATAATAAAAATATTTGAAGATTTTAGAAAGAATTTGGAAACAAATAAAATCGTCAAGTAAGCAAATTAATTTTCATAAAATTTGATTACCGACGTATCAATTTTTCACCAAAATCAATGGCATTAAGCTAACCATTAACAAATTGTCCAAAAAAAATAAAAAAGGAATGAAATTCCTGAAGTAAGAAAAAAATTGACATCATATCGGTACAAAGATATTATTTCCTCCAAAATCAGATAGCCGTACTTGCTACTTCACTCAAAAGAATTATGCATTCAACTTGCGCTCATGAATTGATTATAAAGAATGGTTTTATTCAAGTCAAAAGTTTTTATTAAATGCCGAGACCATTATTTATACATTGCTAGAAGATGAGGTTGATATAATATTAGTCTAAATTTAAGTTTAAATTAATCATAATTTAATTTTAAATTCAACAGTTTAACTGAAAATAATTATACTTTCCAATTTAAATTTAAAAATCCCATCAACACATGCCATGAGCTACTCTTGAGATAAAACCCGCAAGACATGTTGCACTTATTGTTTTTTTTTCTTTTATTTATTTATTTATTTATAAATAATGCTAATGACCATCACCACTGCCTCAACCATCATAATTTAATTTTTACTTGGATGGTTAAACTTAGTACTCCGAACAACATGAAGATATAATATAGTCTGTTATAATCTACTTAATCTTTTGTGGGAGATATCCAAAATGAAACTGATGAGGACATCCGACCTTGGAGAGTTTACTAGAGATGGGGCCGACGATCGAAGGCCGATTACACCGCTTTATTTTTGAGTTGTTATTTGTATTTGATTTATTGTTGCTTTTTTTCCGATTTTACCCTCACTTGAGGGAGTAGATGTTTGTGACCCCGTGAGGTATTATTGTCTTTTGTTTTGTTATTGTATATGAGGACTATTTATAGCCTCCTCCTATTCTTATGAGGGTTAATGAAGATTATTATGAAAATTTCAACAATTTTTTCTTGTCTGTTTATAGAGAGAGCTTTGGTGAGAATCCTAGGTGGGGCAACGAATCACCCACCAGCCGCAGGAAGCGTCCGGGCACGTGGTTAACTTTCTTTCTCCACTTCCCCTCCTCCTTCTCCCCCAACCGCTGACCAAATCCTCTCCAGAAGCTGCCGGCCAAGTCCCATCCCCCCCTCTTTCATCCTCTTAGCCGCCGGCCTCCCCAAGGCCACTACCTCCTCCTCCTAACTGCCAACCCCCACAACCAACCCCCTCCTCCTCAAGCTGCCGGTTCCAAAGCTCCTCCTCTCCTCTAAGCTGCTAGTCCAAAACCCCAAAACCCTCCCTACCAGCTGTCTCCAAACCATAATCCTCATCCTAGTCGCCAGCCTCATCACCCCTTTTCCTCCAAAATTCAAACCCCAATTAATACTTTCCATTTATAAAGTGTCTCAAACTAGGAAAGTTCTTAATTTCAAATTCCAATCTATTTTGAATTTAAAATTCTTTCCTTAAATAAGATGACTTATATTAGGAAAGTTCTCAAATTACATCAATTTAATTTAATTAGGGATTCACCATAATATCCCCCTCCCTAATTAAATATCCCTCTTTGGTAATTCTTTATTCCCTTCCCCATCTTCCCCCCACCCCTCTACTCGTCGGCCTACCCTTTCTTCTCCCTTGATTGCTTTCCCCTAATGCTCCCAATTCAAATTCAAACCTAAAATCAAATCCCTTCCTCCTTCCCCCAAAAATATGACCCTTATTTCTCTATCCCTTTCCCTCCCAAATTAATCCCACTTAGCTGGAGTTTACTGTCCAGAAAATTTCAGCCAAGTTCTTTGCTGTCCAGTCACCCAAGAGGGTTCCGTTTGTTGTCCACAAGTTCCCCCAACTCCTAGTCCACTGTCTCCTCATGTATGGCGGATGTAGAACTTGATCACAGATTTGTTTACATTGATCAAGGGAAAGTGGACATTCTCAAGTCTCCATTCTTCGACATCAACTTAGAGGTAGATCGTACTGTGGAAGACTACGTAGAAAAGATTATCTTCTCTCTCGCCGCCGCTATTGACGAACAACTCTCTCCCGCTCAGTGGCAGATCATTTCCAAATCCTGATAATGGTGAATTTCTCCTCCAAGTCTTGCTTTTCTAAGTCTTTCCTTTAATTTGTGGCATCATTAAAGGTTGTGCAACCTATCTCTGCTTAGCCTACATCAAGAGTGTGAGTGAGTGGATCCAATTAGTGCCTAATCTATATGTTAATATAGGGATTTCCTTTGAACTCCCTCATGCTATGCTAATTGTGATTGGAATTGATTATTTGTGACTCTAACTTTTATCTTGTAATTTGGCCTAAGCTTAAATCACCTATTTGATGTTTTAATAGTTGTTTAAATCACTAAAAGTAAAATGTGATTATTGTTGCTCTAATTAAAATATGTGTATTTTCAGCATTACATATTTGTTCATGAATCTAGTTCTAGATCAGAAACCAATCATGAAATTATGCCAATCCAATATAGTAACCTAAAGTTAGAAAATGAAATACAATCTTTCTCAACTAATACAACTCTTCTTGGCCATCTTTATTTTCATTTCCTCAAAATAAATTGAACCAACTAATCAAAAGAAACTAATTGATAAAAGAATACATAAACTGCTAAAAAATTAATGCTTAAAATGATACTTCCGATAAGAATAAATATGGAGATTTACATCAATTATACATGTTTTCAACAAATTCAACTATGATGAATTTAACATTTGATACTCATGAAGTAAATTCGGGCCTAAAATTGAGCTTCATGTGGAGTAATCTTCAGTCAACACAATCATGTATGTCTAGAATTTCTTGAATAAGATATCTCTAAAGTCCACCATATATTGTGGACACAATTACATCATCTAGAATAGCTTTATCCTAATAAGTATCATAAAAATATCATATAGAAGATTGGATGCTAATTCATCAAGTAGGAGTGGAAAGAGAGTAGAGTTCAAAGAATTTATGATAGACTAATGAATTATAGTCAAATCATTTACATTTAAGATTCATTATAAGTTGAATTTTTGCTAAAATATTTTGAAATTTCTATATTTTTACACATTATTTTCAATGCATTACAAAAATTTAAATGGTATTGCATTCGCTGCATGTATTTTCTAAAAATTATTAGATTTAATTCTTTCTGGACTTAAACGTACTATTACCATATCTCTAGGCTTAAATTTCATATACTTATTCACATTAGCATAAAGTTTATAATTATCATAATCAGTAGCCAAGTTTTGATGAATATGCACAAGTAGACCATATTTGTGTTATGTAAATGATTGTGCAAATGCGCCAAACATAAGATTTTATAGATAGGTCAATAAGATTTATGTACTTTCTAGGTTGATTCCTTGTGATAATCTAAAGTGGACTCATACCTTAGATCTCTTGACCAACGAATTATACACAAACTCAGTACATCAACATCAAATCCCTTTCATTTGTATGGTCTTTTTCCATATAATGTAACAGATCTCCCAATCTTCTATTAACCACTTAGTTTGATCATGTTGTGGGTGATAAGCAGTTAAAAATTTAAGCTATGCTTTTATTTTCTTTCAAAGACTTTTTTTGGAAATAACCCGTGACTTTACTCCTACACCAAAACCAATAATAATTCTTAATCGTGTAGTCTTTGTTAAGTAAAATAAATCATTATTTAAATTTTGTTAAATTTCATCAAAATTCTTATAAGCGACACTCTTTTATATATATCAAAGTCAATTGCCTTAGCATGTATTGCATGTAGACTGCTCTGCTCTATCAACAAGTTTATTTTTATTGTCCAACAAAATGTTAAAGAAACAAAATAATAGTCCTATAAAAATTTAATCTACTTTGCATGTCTATGTCCTAATTTCCTTGGGGAAAAATATCTTTAAGTATAATGGTCATAATACGATACAAATAATTTTGATAGTGGATTATGTTTCTAATAATGAAGAATTTGTACAACAATATAAAACTCTCTTAGTTTGAATTTCTATTTTTATCTTCATTCAATTTTTCATCAGAAATTGTAATGGGTCGTCCTTCATGAGTTAACACTACTCCCATAACAATAACAAAAGCATCACAAAAAATATCAAATATCTTATTAAAATTAAGCAACTTAAATACAAGTTTATTTGCAACTTGTCGATCTCTTTTAAATTTCAGTTAAAGCAAAGTCAATAGATTTAGTTCATTATTTTTTTTCAGGCAATTCATTATTAGAGTCATAATAATACTCAACCCTTTTATTAAATCATCTATAAATGATAGCACAAAAAAAAATCTATAAAAGATAGCCAACAACAACAACAAGCCTTTATCCCACTATGTGGGGTCAGCTACATGAATCCTTTTTCTCCATTGTGTCGTGTTATGAGTTAAATTTTCATCTAAATCTAATATAGAAAGGTCATTCTATAAAAGATAGCCAAACAACACAAGTTTTTAATATCATGTGTATTAATAGATTTTGGCCCATCATTAATTGATTCTCTTTATCATAATCAACTTTTAATCTATCTCCAACTCCAACTAAACTTTGGAATCCATAGATGGAGTCAGAATTTCTTCAAAGTCAAAATACAACTTATAAATTCTCAAATACTCTCTTAAGATGCACTAAATGATTATCACATGCGTCTTGCTATAGATTAGAATATCATCAAACTAAACAATGATAATCTTTTCAATGAAAGGTTTCAAGACATCGTTCATTATTCTCCTAGAAATTATTAGATGTATTGAATAATTGAAAAGGCATAAACAATTATTCATACAATCATCTTTCATTTTAAAACTATTCTCCATTCATCAACTTCCCTCATTCTAACTTGATGATAAAAACTACGCCAATCAACCTTTAAAAAAATATCATAGCACCATTCATTATATTGAGCATATCATTCAGACGGGTAAAGAAAATCTATATTTGATGATGATTCTATTTAAGGCTATATTGCCTACACACATCATCCATCTACCATCTTCCTTAGGTATAAGCAAACAAGTAAAGCATAAGGAATCATGCTTTCCCAAATAAATACATTTGAAGTAATTCATTATTTTGTCCCATAAGTTCAACATGTTATGTTGGGTTTCATATATATTTGATAAGTTAAGTAATGATTACTGGGGATGGAAGTAAAATACTGCAACAAAGCAAACGAGAAAGATAAAAATGCAGTGGAAAGTAACAGACATCGGGATTTAATGTGGAAAAATTCGAAATGAGGAAAAAATCACGGAGCCACACCACACCAAGAAATCCACTATGAAAATGGGGAGAAATAATTGCAGGTCTCTCTTTTCTCTCGCTCTCTCCTTGCTTCTCTTCACTCTTACACCATTCTTCCACTTAAAACAAAAGAGAAATCCAAGTTAATAACACCAAGGGACATCACCCTTAAGAAAAATGAGAAAGAAAACCATTTAATATGCATTGAAGTGTTACGACGTCAGTTTAGAGCGTTGCGATGCTCAAACCTCTAATCCCTATCAGTCTGATGATGCTGCGACGCTCAAACTTGTAGCGATTAGACACTACATAGTGCGATGATATCGAATCTAGAGTGTTGTAGCGCTCCGCTCTTTGTCATTTTTTCTAGCAAACTACAACGTTGGGGCACTCGGGTAAATAGCACCGAGGCATTGTATGAAAAAAAACAAATTGGTGCAAAGCATCCGAACCCAAGCAGGGGGAGGACCTCCCGTACCCCCCTAGCGAGCACGATAAATATACTTGAGATCCGAGACAATAGTATAATCCGATTTGATCGACACAATCGTACTCCACAGACTAACAATGATGATATCAATAGCATGTTGTATGTTTCTCTGTGGTAGTAATTTAGTGGTTTATTAAGGCAAATATCTTTCAAACTAATTTAGTGGTTTATTAAGGAAAATATCTTTAAAACTATTATTTATTTGATTAATATCATCAAGCAAAGTCAAAACTTAAGGTAGAACATTATTCAATTATACAATTACTTGGGTATAAATCACACCATCCTATTTACACTTTTTCTTAAATTAATGTTTATTCATACTATTTAAATTTTTTTTTCACTTTATTGAGATTACTAAATTATTGTTTAGATTCAAATTTGCCCATCAATTTTGTAGTATTAAAAAATTTCCTTCTCGCATTAGTCTTGAAAGGATAAATAGTAGACTTTTCAAATGGCTAAATTATACAAGCAAATTCAATTAAACTAGCATGAGCTACGTCCATGGTAACACATCACGCTAGATTTTATCATTATAAGCAACAATTGAATTATACCCCTGAGATATGAAATTAACAATTTTATTTCCTATATTTCTTATAATATGGTTGTGAATGTGATTCAAGTTTTAAATTCACATAGTCTAAGGCACAGTCTTGGACATGACATACAACTCTCATTATCAATAAGCTTACATTTAAATAAGTTATTAAAATCTTGTAAATAATTAGGAAACCCTTTAAACTAGCTAGACACTTTAGACATATTTTGTCATTCAGTTGCATATACATTTGAAGTAGTAAATACCATCATAAGTAGACACTTCAACTTTTAACTTTTCGGATCATGTTTTATCTGTGTCAAAAATTTGAAATATATAAATTTCATAAGCATCATTGTTTAAGACGTTGAATTCTCTATCAAGATGATATCTCTCTACTGCCAGAATTAACATTCAAATAACCTTGAAGTTCATATTTTAAATTTGATAAAAATCAGAAAATTAAACAATCACATAAAATCCTTTTCCCGTATAATATCAATCATATAATAGCGGGAGAGTTGCGGAAGTTACTATAGTTCCGCATCAATGTGCCCTCTATCTTCTTTGAATACTTATTTAAGCCTTACATTAAGTTTTTTTTTTTTTTTTCTTTTTTCATCTTCAGCAGTTTCCTCCAAGCTTATTGTTTCAAACTGTGTTCAGGGCCCTCACTCTGATTTTTCTGGGCCAACATCGGGAAGCACAGCTTGTGTAGCTATTATGCGAAAAAACCAACTTCTTGTTGCAAATGCCGGTGATTCTCGCTGTGTTATTTCAAGGAAGGGTCATGTGAGTTATTCTGGCAACTGCATCTTGTAAATTTTTATTTGGGCTTCCTTTTGAAGCCATCTGATGTGCATGCTATTCTCTCTCTCTCTCTCTCTCCCTCTTAAATTTCTTGCACATCCCTGTTCTGTGCAGGCTTATAATCTGTCAAGGGATCACAAACCAGTGCTAGAGATTGAGAGAGAGAGAATTTTAAAAGCAGGAGGTTTTATTCATGCAGGACGAGTCAATGGAACTTTAAACCTTGCAAGGGCAATCGGTACGTTCAAACTTGTTGTGATTTTCTAAATCAAGTGATGTTTATTTCTGTCTGAAATTCCATTATCTTGTATTCAGGTGATATGGAGTTCAAGCAAAACAAGTTTTTACCCGCTGAAAAGCAGATTGTAACAGCTAATCCAGACATCACTGTTGTGAGTACTGTGCCTCTTGGTTAATTTTTCCCCTTTTTTAATTTAGCCTTCTTTTCGGATTCTTATCTTGAGACTCGACTATTACTAATATAACCATGTATCTTACAAGGTGGACCTTTGCGAGGATGACGATTTTTTTGTTTTAGCTTGTGATGGAGTTTGGTAAGGATGTGCATTTAGGTTTACCCTTTTGGATTTGATTGGTAGCTTCTTTTATACAACTTTGTTGTTTTTACTTTTGTTTTTCTGTTGTAAATTAGTAATTGAATGTGCACCGCGCTTGAAAATTTGTACAGTACAGAGGCCTCTTTTTCCTGAAAATTTGTACAGTACAGAGCTCAGCGATACACGGCATATGCATGCAGAGCTGAGTATGACATATTTTTTATTTTTCACATTGGTTCTAAATATTTGCATTCTTCCTCTTTCCGGCAGGGACTGCATGTCAAGTCAGCAACTGGTTGATTTCATCAATGAACATATAAGCACTGTAAGACTTACTAAACTAAGCAATATTTTCTTCCATCAGCTGCAAAATGAAATCACAAAAAAGAAACACCTTTTGGAGTTCTAAAGTTTTTTATTTCTGAGCCTTTAGATTGATATTTTTAGCTTCTATGACAGCTCCGACAGGCGACGGTACTCACAATAGTTGTGCTTGCAGGAGAATAGCCTCTCTGCCGTGTGCGAAAAAGTACTTGACCGGTGTTTGGCTCCATCAACGGCCGGAGAAGGCTGTGACAATATGACTATGATCCTGGTTCAATTGAAAAAGCCCATCAATTCAAATGTTGCCGAGGCTGAACAATCATCTCAAGTTAGGCCAGAGATTGAGACAAATTCAGAAGCTTGATCAATCTAGACTCTATTGAACTACAGGTTTCTCCTGATCTTATCGCAATTTTTTTTCCATTCTATGACCTTCTATTTTAGATAGTAGAGCTTGTAGATTCGATTCCTGGAATAAAACTAGTTTACTGTTACATGGTTTATAAGTATTTTTGTGTTCTCATTATACACGTTAGAAGGGTAGGTTGAACATATCTTGTATGTCTTTTGTCTATGGTGTGCATTCTATGAATCTGAATTATACCTTACTGTAACTTGTTCTTTTCTTCTCGTATAGTAAAAACTGATTGGTCTTTTATGGTTGTCATTCTTTGATCATAATTCAACACTTTAATATTATTATATTTTAGTTTGAGTCATCTAAATAATAAATTGGTTCATTGATCAGCTTAAAAAATATCCTCTCCTTCCAAGAAAAAAAAAAAAAAAAAGTTTAATGAAATTTTAATTGCTTCGCCATCCTTATCTTCATTAACACTGAGATGAGCATTGATCATTATCTCTCATCTATTGGTGGACAAAAGGAAAAATAACTAAGATTTCGTTTGGGACAACGTTATTATTCTTTTATTTTTCAGTTTGCAATCATAATTTTTATTTGGTCGAACTATGGGCGAGATCAGCCAATGCAGTTTTGATTAGGTGATCGATGGCAGAATATGACGTGTAGGTTGTTAATAATAATGCAAGACATTTCACATTTCAAGATTATTACTAATAAAAATTGAAGCCGCTCGAAATCTACAAATATATTTGCAAATAAACTAACTTATCCCCATTTCTTCACAATTCTGAACAGGAAAATTCAAGATTCGTAGAAAATTTCTGAGCTCTCGTTAGAAACTTCCAATCAACCATCAATGGTGCTTCACGTTTTTGGAGCTGTCCCTAACCTGCCAAGTTTTTTGGCCTCCTTCCTAAAAGAGAAAGAAAAATGGTCCAATATCCTTATTTTTTCAATAATTGAAAATTGCTTTAATCGATAGATTGTTACGTTTAGGGTTTAGTAGTTAACTTTTGTTGGACAAATTATTCTGTGCTGAGTTTGGACAGGAAAAATAATTCAGACATGTGAGTGTACATACACTGTAAATAGTGTGTGTACACATATGTGATAGACAATGTATACACTATGTACATAATGTATGTACATTTGCTGTCCGGACGATTCTTCCCGTCCAAATTTCACATAGAATAATTTATTCCTTTGTTGACACCTGTTGACCCGCACACTAGATATTTGTTGACCAATGTGATATCCAAAATTAACTAATGTCACTTAACATCAATGTCAAACTACAATTTTAAACGTCTGATTGTCGATGTTTGTCGATGTCCAACTTTTGAAGTCTTATATTATCCTTCGCTGACTCTCATTGGATCACTACACCAATTTGTCTATAGCAACTTTTGAAGTCTTATATTTGATCGTCGCTCAACTTCTAAAGCAAACATTCATACATCGCTGACTTCTTATCCCACAAGACTTGGACAATTCACAATCCAGGACAATCAGACTCATAGACTGAACAAGTCCTATCGTGTTGGCTTACAATAGACAATTTTGAAGATCTTAGTGTTATTTTTATTTTTTAGGGAGATTTACCTACATACCACTTAATACTATTCTATTTACATATTTAACACCTAAAACTTTAATATTACATATATACCACCCATAGTTCATTTTCATATCAAATTTGAGTGGTAGAAATAAAATATATGAGTGGAAGAAAAGAAATATAAGTGGTATATTTGATATTAAAATAAGATAGAGTGGTATGCATGTAATATTAAAGTTTTAGGTGTTAGATATGTAAATAGGATATTATAAAGTGGTATGTATGTAAATTTCCCTATTTTTTATTTTAGATTGTCTTCCAATGCAAACTTTAAAATAAATAACAGACCACAAAGCTACTAATATTATCCAGTATTGTAAATTACCTCATCCACACAAAAATTTATTTTCTTATCAAAATGTATATATAATAATTACATTACAATGCATGGCTATTAACCAGAGTACAAAAGAGAACATAATAGATTAATCATGACTTTGGGCAAAATGTTGGCCATTAAAAGAGAAGCATAATATTAAGTGTAGTAGAGAGGAGGATGCATAGGTGAATGAGTGGTTGTACTCTTAGAGACAAAAATACGAAATGAGCATATACGACAAAAACTTGGAGTAGCTCCAGTGGAAGATAAGATTAGAGAGAGTCCCTTTAGATGGTTTGGTCACATGTAATGGTAGCTTTATGATGAAATGGTTAGGAAAAATAGATGTATTAGATTTGGCTTATGTTAAAAAAGAAAGAAATAGACCTAAAAAGACTTGGTTAGAAAATATTAGAAGTTACCTTTATTTATTAGATTTAAATAAAAATTTGACTTTAAACTACACAATGGAGAAAAAAGATTCATGCAGTTGCCCCACGTAGTGGGATAAAAGTTTGATGATGATGATGATGATGTTGTTGTTGTAGATTAGTCATGACTGTATAAAAATCAAAAGAGGAAATACCTATACAAATTCATATTAGATCCTAAAACCGCTACTCGATTGGTTCCTTTCATTTCCCAGACTCTAAAAACATAAAGTGAAACATTTGTGAGCAAACACAGCTCAACAGGCTACATTTAAGCCGATATGAATTTCTAAACATTCATTTATTAAGATTTTAATAGAATAGTAAAAGTAATAAAATAAATCACTATGCAAGGTAGAATAATAATCGTAGTTATCATAACTTTAAATAATAATGTTGTGAAAATAAATAAACATACACCAATATCTTAGAGCCAGAATTGACAGATTTTCTTCTTTTAACTCCCAATGTCCATCACCAAAATAGAATGTGCTTATAGCACCAAAACATGTCTTATAAGCATCAGAACAAGGCTTATAACCATAAAAACATAACTTATAGCCACCAGAACATGCCTTATAAATATCAAAATAACTTGCTTCTCCCACACCAAATCTCTTTAGAAATTCTTATTTTAACTAATAAGACATATAATTAATTACATTGCAGTAATTAAAGCATAAATAATCTCATTCCAAAATTTTACAAAATGTTATAACAGTAGGCAACATAAACCCTACTGAACAAAAATGTAGTATTTTAAAATTTAACCAAATTATCACGAATTGTGTAAAAGACTATTTTAAGACTTTAATATACTACAACATTATCTTTGGAGTTTATGATTATTTTTTAATCAATTAAAATAACACACATTCCAAAATACTCGATGTAAAAGTTTCAGAAAAATACTTAAATATTTAAAATTGATGTCTTTATAACATACAGAAGTTCCATGGTGAAAGTTTTATGGGTGTGAGGTTATCCCCCTTTTTTATTTAAAAAATATAAATTTAATTAGAAAATTAAAGAAAACTTCGTATGTTTGAAAACAAGGACATGCAAAATGTCACATATCTCAGTCCGAACAATTTTTAGAATTGGATCGTTTGCTAAAAATAATCCGAAAGTGGCTTAAATAGACTTTCTCTCTCTCGGAATATCTCTTCTTCTCTTTCTAACGTCGACTGCCCAAACAAATCGAGTGAATGGAATAGTGAAAAAATATATTTTAACTATTAAAATTTGACCTAGCACCACAGTGCCACATAACGCTCCTTCACAAAGCCCATATCGACGCCCCTAGCACCGTCGTGCTGAATTAATTTGTCAAAAATCTGAGATCATTCGTACCACGAAGCCGTTGAACCCAATGTCGCGGCGCCCAGAGAAAACATTTAGACTTTTCTAAACGTGCAAACGGGTCTTTGGCACCTACTTCAGAACACATGCAAACTCGCATATGCACCCAAAATATTCACAGACACACGTAGAAGAGTTCAAATGCACAAATTTAAATAACTTACCTTATTTAGATGATATAAGAACATATTGAACTGAATACTAAATCTGGAAGAGTTATAGGACATCCATCAACTAATGCCACTCAACATCACTCAACATTTACAGTTGATCAACGCTCTTCATTGCCTTTCGCCAACACCATTATGAATAAATGCCCACCAACATCTCTAATTGGCTTCATTAACCTTCAAGGCTTCAACACTCACGAACATCATCTCAGGAGATCTTCTCTAACAATTTGAATTCTAAATTGCTTTACTACCTTCTTCAACTATGGATAAGGGAAGACCATTGTACTTTCATATTCAAACTAGTTGTTCTGTTTTGACTAGGTTATGCCCTGTGAATTCTCTTTTACTTTTTCACATAAGAGATCTTTATATCTTTTATCAGTCGATGTGTATGATCTTCTTAAGTTTTCCTTCATGATAGTTGATAAGTCATAAAAAACTATCTTGATTTGGCATGAATCTTGATGCATATATGAATTGGAAAATTCCAAATTAAAATTGGGATCACCCGTACAGCCGTACTCCAATTTCAGCAAACTTATGATCAAATTTGTCCAATATGAGTCCAAATGGGCCCAAATCAAGGGATTAAAGAATATTTTGAAGCTTAAATGTATTAATTGGATGAACAAATTATATCGAAATATAATATGCTTATGTTCAAATTGAGCAGCTTGACGAGATGAACTCAACGAACCCAAGATTGATCAATTTTGGCATCATTACGACACTTAAATGTTGAACGAATGCTCCATGATTGAGGGATTTAGTATGAGCCATCCGATGGATCACTCCAAATTTATAATGGATCTCCTTTATCGCTTGTCGACTACGATTCCTCTGACCTTGTCATCTGATTACGGTCCATCCAACTTTTGTTACCCTCTGACTACGATCATTCTGACCTCCGTCGCCTGCCGACTACAATCATTCTGACCTCCGTCGCCTGCCGACTACAGTCCCTCTGAATTTATCGTACGATCCTACCGACCAAACAAAAATTCCAACATTCTCCTTGGAACAATTATGGAGTCATTTTATAACCAATACCAAATACCAAAATAATCATTTAAACTGGAGGCCCAATGTTTTTTTCCCCCTTTTAAGGATTTCCACAAAAAATATGATGTTTCTTATGACTCTTGCACCCCTTTTTTATATGTGTGTTGATTCTGCATACAAAGCTATGACGCTAAACCTCATATCTCTTTATCACCGTGAATATTTCAACATGTAAGGGTGTAAATGAGCCGAGTCGAGTATCTACATAGTTGAGCTAAGCTTGTTTAGTTTATCCTGAATTGGTAATTAAATTATTTTAATTATAATAAAATTCTTTTGTCGCTCAACTCTTCGTCCAAAAAAAATCAAAAAAGAAAAAAAAAAGATTCATCTGCACAAAGAGAATGATTAATAATCTCATATAAGTATATTAGACTTGTTGCGTCCTGGAGTATTCGCGGCGGTAGAGAAATATAAAGTTTAATGTCTTAGCATTGTATGAAGATCCATCAACCACACAGATAAAAAAGAGAGGGTCTAGCATTTATGAGACACTAATATTTTTACATGGAAATCCCTGAAAAGGGGGAAAAAACCACGGGGCCTTGCCCAGTTTGAATGAATCCACTAACATTGCAATTGATTACAAATGAAGTCATTCATTGGGGGAATGAAGTCATTCATTGGGGGAAGGCCTTAACTTTATGTACATCTTATAGAGTACATTACATGATGAGAATACAAAGAATTCTAGTTGATGTGTTTGTTTGGTCTGAAAGACCGTAGTCGGTGGACGGCGTAAGTCGGAAGGACCGTAGTCGGCGGGCAACGGAGGTCGGAAGGACTGTAGTCAATGAGCTATGTAAGACTGTAAGTCAGAAGGACCGTAGTCGGCTGGTGACGGAGGTTGGAAGAACTGTAGTCTGACGATGAATGTCAGAAGGATGGCGTCAGGTAGAAGTCCATCAATGGATAGAAATCCAACATCAGATAGATGTCCGGTGAAACTCCCACAACGGGCAGAAGTCCAGCGTTGGGTAGAAACTTGGCGACGAGCGGAGGCCTGACGTCGGGTAGAAGTCCGACATATATTGGCAGCCGAGGAGAACTCCTGCGTTATATGGTATTCGGGCAGAACTCCGGCATTACTTGGAGTTCGGGTGAAACTCCGGCCTTACTTGGTGATCGGGCGGAATTCCGACGTCACTTGGAGGTAGTGCGGAATTCCAGCGTCACTTGAAAGTCAGGCAGAATTCCAGCGTCACTTGGGCAGAATTTCGGCATCTCGTGGAAGTCGGGCCAAATTCTGGCGTCACTTGGGCAGAATTCTGGCGGCGGTGGTCGAGGAGTTTCTTCCTTCATAACTTTCTTCTCTTATTGTCCTTCTTCTCTTGATTCTTGCTTGGGTCCCCTCTCATGAGAAATGAGGGGTCTATTTATAGATATTATGGAGTGACATGGCTTGTAAATAAGTGAGATATCATAGGTAAAGAGGGAGTGGTCGGATGGACGGCCGATATTGAATCTCTTGATCGTGCACCGTTCGTCAGACATTTGAAGGTCTTAATGATGTTGGAATTCGGCGATCTATGGCTCGTTAGATTCGTCTCGTCGGGCCGCTCGATTCGACTATAAGAACGTCATATTTGGAAACCGTTTGGTAACTCAAATTGTGGTTCAAACTTTCCAACAGTGTTTTGGGTCCTTGATTTGGATTCATTTGGGCTCGGATTGGGTCGAATTTGGTGTCAATGGGTTCGTGTTTCCGAGACGCTCAGTTTGACTGTAAGTTCGCTGAAATCGAAGTTTAGGTGATCCCGAATTTAATTTTTGAAGTTTCCTGCTTGATTTTGCCTCGAGATTCGTGCCGATCAAGATAATTTTTTGATGATATATCAAGAACACTTAGAATTCTATCTATTAATGTCGCATTTTGGCCCTGTAGGAAATGCTTTTTATTTTATTTTTATAAAAAAATGCTTTAAAAAAGAGAAATAACTGCTTTTCTAATAGATTTGTATGTTCAGAAAATGTTTTCGATATTTTTTTTTTAATTCTAAACGAATTAAAAATTTAAACTCTCACTAACGGATCAAAAGAAATGGACTTTTGAACTGCTTTACATCAATAATTATTGACTCAGCTTTTCAAACTCTTTTTTTTTTTGGGACATTTAGGCCATTTAAGGCAAACTCACACACACAACGCATACACATAGACTCGAACCCTGAACCTCTTAGTTGGAAGCCTAAGCTCTCAACCAATAGGCCAAAGAGAGTTGTGTAGCTTTTCAAACTCTTCAAAAAGCCTTCAAAGAGGCTGCCGTCCACAGTCCACTCTTAATGAATACTAATTGGGACGAACCTCAAAGAGTGCTGATAAAAAAGAGAAGATAGTTTTTTTTTTTTAAATGATAATGTTTGAGCAACCATCAATCTTGAATGAAGTATCTTTTCTTAGGGGTGGTTTAATTGGCTTAAAAAGAAATGCAAAAAAAAGAGAAATAATACTTTAGATTTGAATGAGTTTAAAATAAATATATGACATTATTATTTGTTATTTGATTTGAAATAAAATAAATGCAATATAAAGTCCAAAGAGATTGGTTGTCAGCGGGCATGGGTGAGCAACTTGCAATAGTGGTTAGTGGTCGATGGCAACATCGATGGTTGGTTGTTGGGGACAGCTGGCGGCGGTCAGCAACAATAATGGTGGGGACTATCAGTGAGTGTAGACAATAGGCAATGGGTTGTGGCCAATGGCTATGAAGGTTGGCGGGTGATAGTGGCGATCGTGGTTTGTGGTTGGCGATAGTGGTTGTGTTCAACAATGGTGATAGTGTATGGTTGGTGATAGTGGTTGTGTTCAACAATGGTGATAGTGTATGGTAACGACTGGCAGTTAGGCGATGGCTAATGATTAGCAACAACAATGATGTCCAGCGATCATGGTCTATGACAGTGGCTAGCAGGTGGTGACAAAAGTGATAAATTTATGATATATTTTGAGCTCACTCAAATATGAAAAATTTCAAATACACAAACTAAACTAGTTGATAACTTTCAATTGCATAATTTTACACTGCATTTATTTTACCTCAAATCAAACACGAGTAATATTAAACCTTCTACATTTAGAATACTTTACACCCTTTATACTTCAAATCAAATAGCCCCTTAAGAAAATTTTAAAGAACTTATTATGTTTTTATTATGCTAATTATTTCATTACAAATCATACTCATTTTCATTATGTTAGTGCATGCTACATTCAACTGGACGGCGGTATAAAATTCTGAAGCCTTAATGGTTATATTTGATTTTCTTGCTATGTTATTTGCCTTTGATAATGAACTAATATATGGCCATCTTTTAAGTCACAAATGATCACAGAATAGCTACGTTGGTATTTGAGATGCATAGGTAGATGAAGCAGTAAACAGAAATAAGAGTAACCAATGCAGAGTATTCACAGTTCTTGCAGGCTTAACCTCTCAAGGAAGAACATTCTGCAAATGTCTCCTTCCACTCAATGTTTTACTTATGAAGATGTCAAATTGACTGATCTAAAAGAATAATTGAATACTGTGGCCTGATTTGGTTCATAGAAATGGATCAGATGGCAAACCCAGGCTTCGTTTTTTACTGCTTCTTAAAACGACTTTCTTAAAATTTCTTGTAATTTTTTATGAGAAAATCGTTTTAAGTAGTAAAAAAGCCGTCCCAAATGAAGCCCCAGTGAAATAAACATTTCATAACCATGATAACAACAGATATTTAAGCAAGCAAGGGAAAGACCTGCTACCAAGCAAAAACTACAGCGAATATCTACAACTTCTATCAGCTTTGCATATCTCAGTAACACAATGTTAATCCTTCCCTTTGCAAAGGCAAGATCTTTATGAAAAAGGAGCAACTCTAATGGGTTATTGGTAAAAGTGATCATATACATAAATCATTTTCACTAATGATGCAAGCAATAGTAGGTCTGAAACCTTCAAAGGGAGCTGATCTTGCCATGAAATTTTCCAGTTCCCCACCCAGATTGGCTGCTACCAATCTCTCTACAAACTGAGAACTTAATATCATCAACCATAGCATCTCCTCCTTCAATGAAGGTCCTCTTCAACTTGTCTATCTTGAGGGGCTCCCATTTCACATCAAGCTCCATCTCTTCACCATTCTAAAAGTTGAAAAAAAATAAAAAACTTAGTCAAGACATTGATGTGGAATGCTGTGACTGAGCAACAAGAATTTTTTTTACAGATAAAAGATCTACCAGAAACTTTTAACATTAAAAGATTTATAGCAGAACTTGTCTTAGTTCACAAAGGAGGATCTATCTGATTACCGGTAAGGAGACCTGATTCAGATCTAATAATTTTGGAGCAGTTTGAACAGAAGCTTCGTTTGTTTTGCGATTCCTCTCTTTCAAAGGCACTTTGAAAAGGTTATAATCAGTTAATTTTGGGAAACTTTGAACTGAAACTTCTTTTGATTTGAGATTCCTTTCTTTTAAGGGTGGCTTGGTTCCAATAACAGGATGATAAGGTTGGTTAACTTCTTTGCAAGATTGTCTCTTCACCCTGCACGGTTTTGCCGAAACCCGAGGAATGTTTGAGAAAGACTGGTATTTTTTGCTCAAGAATCTGCAGCAACAAATATTGCATGATACAAATGGCACCATGAAACATAAGCTAATAGAGTGATTAACATACAAAATGAAGAAGAGCTTGTAAAATAATAGAAGAGTCAGTTCTTACTTCACTTCAGCCATTAGCTTGAGTTTCCTCTGCAATGCCTTGTTTAATCTCTCCTTTTTCCCTTCAGTTTCCTGAGAAATAACCCGATGATGTTTTCCATAAGGTATGCAGAAGGAGCTCATATAATATAAAATATGAATTCAAATACCAAAAATCATAAATGACATGTTTGGTTTAAAGGAATTAGAAAAAACACAAATAGATTTTAAATTACAATTTCATATTGGATGATTGGATCAAATGCAAATTAAGGGGCTGTTTGTTAGTAGGATTTAGGCCAGATTTGAGGCGGATTTGAGCGAAATCCAGCTAAACAGCCTAAAATGCAAAACTAAATCTCACGGCAAATGAAAGCTACCGTAGACGGAAAATTCCACGTTTTCGTGCTTAATCCCGGATTTCCGAAATCCCATTTTTTGCCGGATTTACGAAATCCATTGGCTCGAGAGGAGTCCGCTCGTTAAATCCGCTCTATAGCCAAACAGTCACATGGAATTTAATAGGATTTTTTATGAATGTTACCAAACATTTTTCAGGATTTAGGTCCATCAAGATCTCCTTAGAGGATTTACGAAATCCTATTTAAATTAAATCATGGGTGCTACCAAACAGCCCCTAATAGATAAGTGGTTTGCAGTAATAAAAAATAATACCACTGACCATAAATTAATAGGAATTGAAATATGTATAAATAACTTCTTCCATTTACAATTCTCACATAAAAAACCAGAAGAAAACTTATATCATTGTTGTGATTCAGATTTAACCTTTCTTTAGAAAGAAAGAAAGGTTCAATTTTTCATTAATTAAACATGTAAAAAATATTTTTACACAATTTCTCTCAAATAAACGAGTGGGGGAGAGGGTGAACGGATTTCAATTTATTTTCTCCATCATTTTCATTTCTTCTTTTGCAATTCCTTCAAACTAAACAGAGCCACAGAGTGGTAACACCAAAGAAAATTCTATGATAAGGTAAAGAAATGGAACCTCGAAGGGAGGAAGGTTTGATGGATTAACAAAATAAACAGATAAAAATATTTAATGAAACACATCACAGAATTACACAAATGATAATCAGGAGCATAATCACATGAAGAGAACAAAAAACATGATGGAATAAACCCTAAATCGACCAAAAAAAAAAAACTATGCAAGATATAATCTAGAACCCTAAATCAGAAATCAAAGGACATAGAGCAACATAGAGAGAGAAGTCCTCCAAAAGCTCGAAGAAGAAAAACAGAAAATTTTAGGACCCTCAATAAACCTAGCAGAAAAAAATGTATAAAAATCTGACAAACCCATATCTCTAACAAATTTAAGTAAACATATAGAACCAGTTACGAAAAAAACTAAAAGAGCCATCAGATCTATGCAACCAATTTCCAAAAACAAGATCCCACCTTGAGCAACTCCTGATAATCCTGTAACAAACACTGGTGTTTAAACCTCGCTCTGTCCTCCTCCCCAACCAGGAAAGAAGAAGAAGGCCCTGGATCCACGGAAACCCTAATCTTCCTTTTCATCATCTTCGCCAAACCAAAAAATAGCAAGAAGAAAAAGAAGGCTTGGAAATAGCAGAAGCTAGAAGAGAAAAGAAGGTAAGCACTGGATGAGATCTGAACCGCCTTGCAACGAAGTCATAAAGATATACAGAGAAGAGAGGAAAAATTGTGAGAGAGAAAGAAGTGGAGATAATGGAGAGATAAAGGCGGAATAGAGAGAGAGAGAGGGGAGGTTCCTTCCCCAATTTTCTCTCACCAAGGGTCTGACCGTGACCAAAACACGAAAGAGGCCCATATAAATCAAGAATACGAGAGCAACCCCTCCTTCCTTTGATGGAAGAGGTGAAAGACGAGTGTTTTTCGCACATTTCCTTGATGAATGGAATAAAAAGACTGGATTTTTTTTGGGGTTTGCAGAGGGGCATTTGTGGCACCCTCATCACTCTAAAAATTTGATATTGGAAGGAGGTGGTTCGGTTGGAAAGCCACCCTTCTTCCCACCACACGCACAGCCTCTCTCTATCTCTTCCCTTCCTTTCTCTCTCTTATTTTTCTTCTCTTTCACATAACTTTGGTCCACCTTGGCCATTGGCATGAAAGGGAGAGAGAAGGGACACTGGTCTCCTAGGCACAGCGGTTTGAGATAATTTTCTTCTGCTCGTTGTATCCTCTATACTTGAAGGGAGAGAGAGAGAGAGACAGAAAGAGGTGATAACCTCTTCTGTAATGTTGCAGATTTTGCTGCCTGGTACTATGTAGAGCCGTTTGATAGTGGACGGTGTAGGAATGGGATGGGGACTTTTCATCCAATATTTTAATATTCCGGAAAGGCCCCTACAAGCTTTTCATCATAGCAAAGCCAACTTCTCTCTTTTTATTTTTTATTTTTATTTTTCTTTTTTAATTTGAGTTTTTAAACCTTACAAATGAAAACAAAAATTTCAACCAAGGAGACCGACTGCATACACTTCAAAGGAAAAGTTTATTAAAATTGACTAAAAAAACTTTTATAGATATTTAACAGAAGATTTTTATATATAATACACAAAATATTAGAATTCAAATATTTAATATCTAAATTTTATTATTTACATAATTTAACTCCCCGTTATTAAAGTTGATATTCACAAGATATGAGGAGGAAAAATATTGATTCTTCTCGACCAAGTTCTTCTAGGCAGTGGTTTGTCAAATTTGATGGAGGCGGCGGTTGGAGGCACAAACATGACAAATGCGGTGGCACGAAGGCATGACCACGACTAAGTAAGTTATGATAAGAGCTTAGGATGCTGGGACATGCTACATGTAAAGGGCGACGAGACTGACAACATATAGTGAATGTTAATAGGATCAAGCGGAGCTACAATGTGATGATTAGGGAAAATATTAATTTTTATTTTATTTTGATGTTTTTAGTATTGTGCATGTAAATAATGAAATTTAAGTGTTGCATATCTTTTTTAGCTCCATGTATGCAAAGCCCCCTGAATAAAATCACATAATAGTTTAGCAATTAGCTTAAATGCTAAAGTATTATGATTTGAGCCTTATACAAATAAATATAAGAATTTAGATGATGTATATGTAAATATATAACATTTTTGTGACATATATCTTAATAATTATATGAGGGAGAAATTATACTCAAAGTTTAATGTTTAGCATTCATATGCATGATTCTAAAAGTGCTTATTCAATGAATATATTTTTATAATAAAATTTGAATTTAATTAATATCATTACTCTTGATATTTTTACTTTTAATACAAATTTTTTCGATTGAAACCAATGAAGAATCACCAAAAGTTAGAAATTGATTAAGGGCATATTTGAGATGGTTGCGATTTTTTGTAAAGATAGTTGTAAAGCTGTTGTGGGGAAAGTAACTTCTTGAAAAGTTACTGTAAAAAATAACTCCTATAATAATCCAAACTTTAAAATAAATTTATTTGAAATATATAAAAAAATTGATCTAGCAGGCAGCTTTATGACAATATAATATCTCATATTCAACACTTAAATAATATTTTAAGAATTACTATAAACCTAATTTGCAAACTGTTTTCTCTATATCTTAGATATTGATATGCTCTTATTATAATATTTTTCTCTAATTTTTATAGATAGTGTATGTGAAATCTCATAAGCAAAAGAAGCTAAACACTTAAACATCGATGCACATGTCAGTGTAATGATTAGAATTTTATTAAGAAACTTTACAGTTAAGCATGCTCATCCCAAATAAATCTTGATATGGTGACCTCCTGAAAAGTTATACTAATAGGACAAAATTATGAGGTTCTTAGGCCAAAAAAGATAAAATATCGATAGTTAAGAGTTTGAGCTACTACATATGGTATCAGAGCAATACACTGATCGAAAGATGAGAACTAAGTGTCATACAAGATAAAATACTACGCAATGGAAGCCACCTCTTGAATCCTTTATGAGACAAAGTGCTACGTGGCAGGGGACACCACTTGAACTTGTAGGGGCCACCTTTAAAATTATATCTATTTGATGGTTGATTCTGAGATATAAATATTAACGAGGATGTCAGTTACTTAAGTAAGGAAGAGTGTGAAACTTTTTAAATAAAAAGAAGCTAAACACTCAAACATCGAGAAGTCTTTTAATGTGATGATTGAAATTTTATTAAGAAACTCTATAGTTAAGCATGCTTATCCCAGAGAAATCTTGTGATGGTGACATCCTAGAAAGTTATATCAACATGATAAAATCGTGAGGCCCTTTGGTCAAAGCGGACTATATATCAATAATTAATAGTTTGGGTTATTACAGTGTATATATGAAAACAATAAGTTTTTTGCAATTCCTTAAGAAATGAATATATCTCGATACAAATAGGTTTTCTGGGATCGTTAGGAGTATGTTTTCACATTGATTTCACCAAAATGGTCGTGACATACTGTGTTATTTTATGAATACTTTTCTATAATTTTTGAATCCCTGAATTTAAAGATAAAAAAATTTATATGAATTTTATGTTAAAAATGAAACAATTGGCCTAATTAGCTTTATAATCTTAACTTACTACATTATAATATCCTAAGATACTACTAAGAATTTTACAAAAGCATTGTAATTCTGTTTTCCCCAACAAATGAGGGAGAAGGAGAATTTGAGAAGATAATTGTTGCGTGCGAGAATATCCGCGGCGGTAGAGTTTGTAAATTCGCGTCCTAACGTTGCACGAGTATTTCGCACACAAACAGAAAAGGGGAGTGAACACCAAGAGTTTTTACGTGGAAAACCCAAAAAGGGAAAAAAACCACGGGGCCTCGCCCAGTTGCAAAATTCCACTTGTGTTTTCGTAGATTACAAATGGCGGATTTCGTCCCACAAGTCGGAACATTTCAACAGCGCTTTGAACCCTTGATTCGGACTCGTTTGGGCTCGGATTGGGTTGATCTTGGTGTCGTTGGGTTCGTAATTCCGAGACGCTCAGTTTGACTATAAGATCGCTGAAATCAGAGTTCATATGCTCCCGGATCTAATTTTTGAAGTTTCTGGCTAGCTTTTTGCCTCGATATTCGTGCCCGATCAAGATAATTTTTGCATGACGTATCAATTATAAATCTAATTTGCAAACTATTTTCTCTATATTGTAGATTTTGATATGCTCTTATTATAATATTTTTCTCTAATTTTTATAGATAGTGTATGTGAAATACCTTAAGTAAAAAGAAGCTAAACACTTAAACATCGATGCACATTTTAGTGTAATGATCATAATTTTATTAAGAAACTCTGCATTTAAGCATGTTCATCCCGGGAAAATCTTGATATGGTGACCTCCTGAAAAGTTATACTAATATGACAAAATTATGAGGTTCTTAGGCCAAAGCAGATAAAATATCAATAGTTAAGAGTTTGAGCTTGTACAAATGGTGTTAAAGCAATACACTAATCGGAAGATGAGAACTAAGTGTCATACAAGATAAAGTACTATTCAATATAAGCCACCTCTTGAACTTTTTATGAGACAAAATGCTACAAGACAGGAGTCACCACTTGAACTTGTAGGGCAGTAGGGGCCACCTTTAAAATTATATCTATTTGAAGGTTGATTTTGGGATATAAATACTAACGAGTATGTCAGTTACTTAAGTAAAGGAGACGGTGAAACTTTTTAAATAAAAAGAAGCTAAACACTCAAACATCGAGAAGTCTTTTGATGTAATTATTGAAATTTCATTAAGAAACACTACAGTTAAGCATACTTATCTCCCAGAGAAATCTTGTGATGGTGATCTCCTGGAAAGTTATACCAAAATGATAAAATCTTGAGGCCCTTAGGTCAAAGCGGACTATATATCAATAATTAAGAGTTTGAGTTATTACGGTGTAGATATGAAAACAAGAAGTTTTTGCAATTCCTTAAGAAATGGATATATCACGATACAAATAGGTTTTCTGGGATCGTTAGGAATACGTTTTGCATATTGATTTCACCAGAATGTTCGAGACATACTGAGTTATTTTATGAATATTTTTCTATAATTTTTGAATCATTGAATTTTTAATTTTAAAGAATTTCTAACTTGAATATGCCTCGAGATTCGTGCTTGATCAAGGCAATTTTTGTGGACGTATCAAAGATAAAAAATTTATATGAATTTTATGTTAAAAATGAAACAATTGACTTAATTAGCTTTATAATATTAGCTTATTATGTTATAATATCCTAATATACTACTCCAGAATTTTACAAAAGCATTGTAATTCTGTTTTCCCCAACAAATGAGGGAGAAGGAGAATTTGAGAAGATAATAAAGGAGAGAGAGGAGAGAATTTATTTATTTTCTTTAATCATGAAATTAAATAGAATTTACAATTATAAATTTATAACACTCAAAACTTATATATTTATAAATCTTTTAAAAGTGTTTCTAAGCAGTGTGAATATCGTCTTTTATTCTTGATTCATTCGAAAATTTATTATCTTAAGATTTGTTGCGTGTTAGAATATACACGGCGGTAGAGTTTGTAAATTCGCGTTCGAGCGTTGTACGAGTATTCAGCACACAAACAGAAAAGAGAATACGAACACCATAATTTTTCCGTGGAGAACCCAAAAAGGGAAAAAACTACGGAGCCTCGCCCAGTTGAAAAGTTCCACTAGTGTTTTGCAAATTACAGATGGCTAATTCGTCCCACAAGTCGGGGTAATCAGATTACAATTCGTTTCTTTTCGAAAATTTATTAACTTAATGATTAATTATAAAATCTTAATATTAGTTTAATAATAAATAAAATTTAGATGATAAATAAATATTTCGAAAAAAACAAGGAACATCTGTGCAAAATTGCAAATATATATTTACATATGCACCCCAGAGTAAACCGGCGGTTCACTTCCAACCTGGGCCGGTTTTTTATTCTGTCCTGCCCCAATGGGACGGCTGAAGAGTGAAGAGGAACCTTCCGCCATCTCTTACAATCTCGACGCCCTCCTCCCATATTGTAGCGCTTTCTAGTTTCGTTCCATCGCAACCTCCTCCAAATCTCTCTCTCCTTCTCTCTCCTTCTCTCTCATGGCTTTTCTTCTTCCCTTCTCTAGCATCGATATGGCGTCGTTGGAGACTCGAAGAAATCTACAAGGTCTTTGTATCAAGGAAAAAGCAGCAGTGAGGCCTCTTCGTATCAAAGCTTCTTCTTACCGATCTAAGCATCTTCTCTTCTCTTCATTCTCACCTTCGGCTGCCTCCGGAGAAGTCTCAAAGGTTGAGCATGTAGAAGAGACTGAGTTGCAGGTATTTCTTTGAATTTCTGTTCCCTTCGCTGTATTGTTTAGATTCTTCTTCTCATTATATATAGGCTGAATTGAATTTATTTCCATAATTCTTTTATATAACTCTACGAATAAGAGGAGAAAAATGCTACATTGGATTGTTCTGGAATCAAGGGTTGATTGTTTAAATGCTGATAAAAGGTCTGAACTGTAAAAGGGGTATTGAATTGATTATTGCCACATTTTGGACTATGAATTGGAAGAGTGGGGGGGTTTCATGTGCATGGCTAGAGTTGCTTAGAAGTTCAATTTCTTTTTGGAAATTGGAGTTGCTCTGGCAAGTTTTTTTATTCCTAATTCTGGATTGAGTAAACCCTCTTCTATATAACAGTAGGATGCCTGTTATGTGAGTGTGTGGACGGCATGCCAAAAAATTAGTATCCTCTTTTTATTTTGGGGTTTTTGTTTACTACTCGAACTCGTAACTCAAAGGCTTTTTACTCCCTCGCAAGATTTCCATCATTGTGTAAATTCTTAAGATCCATAGCTGGGACAATTGATGAGCTGTGAATTAGTATAAGGTGTTATCAGTCAAGAGACAAACCAAAATTTCTTATTTCCCCCTTACGATTAGATTTTGTGTGTAATGCACAGTGTACTGTTCATTGAGCGGAGAAAAAATACTTACTGGCATGCCATTCAATGACACCCACACTTGCAAGCTAAGTTTGGAAAGCTTTTTTATTTTCATCTTTGATTGTAAAATTAAACCAAGAGAAGCAGTGAGGGCATCTCCAACCGAAAATCTCATTTTTCACTCCAAAATGCAGTGAAACTAAAAAATGTCGTGATTCATCTCCAATCGAACTCCATTTTGCCCTCTTTTGCGAAGGTAACGGTCGTTCTCTTTTTTCACGCGTTTCTTCGGCAAGTTCGATAGAGACAAAAAAATAACAGAGATGAACAGTGCAACGTCTATATTGGCGTCCCACTGTTCACCCGCAATCAAATAGCGGAAGTTTTTCTATTCGGCTGGAGCTCGCGAGCGGCGCCATTCAAGCGTTTGAAGTTCGGTTGGAGATGCCCTGAGAGAGCTTACTCCTGTGCTATTTGAGTAGCATGAATTAATCTGGCTACATAATGTGTCCATGAGAATATTTGTATAGATATGCCACACATGCTGGTGGGAATTTGGTGGACATAGTGCAAATTTCTTTTTTATTGATTGCATTTGGTGCATGCATTTGCGTGTTATGAGCGTGCATCGATTAATGTCCATGTGGAATCCAAGTTCCTTAGGGTGAAATGTGCTAAGTTTGATCAATTTATGATCTTGTTCGGCTAAGTTGGTTTTATATTGTGCTGAACATAAGCCAATCTTGAGCTCGAGAAAGTTCAATTATGTTGTTAATATCTTTAAGTTAGTCTTGCCGGGAAACAGTAAATGATTTTGATGATATTTTCTCAAGCAAGTCTGTCATTTGAACAAAATATTTACCCTAGTTCCCCATCTTCATACAAGTTTGAATATAAATGCTATACTGGTTATTGATATTGGGTTCAGGCATAAGAGAGAACCTTGCTGCCCCATACAATAAAATTTAGAAGATTACACAACAAGGCAAATAGAAGATTTATTTTTTCATCAGGGTCTCTCACACATCTATCATGCTTCATTCTGATGGATTTGCCATTCTTTCCCCATGAAAATGGCAAAATGGACAGAGGGAATCCACTGGTAATTCAAGAAGAATCACATGATCTAATCTATTAAAGAGCATGGGAGACATGGAGTGGTTAGGTTAAGTACAAACACCTTGAAGAAAGACCCAACTCAAATGAGAGCTATTATTCTATTCCAATACATGTTAGCTGATCGCCTTTGCCAATCTCAGCTACATGCCACCTCATGTCCGTATGTATTCCGAAAAGCTTGTTCCATATGCTGTTCTAGTGCTCACTTTCAAGTAGTATTATCTTGAGCTTTCATGAAGATTGTGAGCTTCACATATTGCTTACTCATGAAGGCATAAACAAGTGTGAACAAATAGTTGAAAAGGGCGTGCTTGCTCTAATGGAGAACGGGCCCTTTTTGGCCTTTTTTGGAAGAAAAAAAGAATGAAAAGCAGAATGAGTACTGTAACTAAGTTTTCAATTTCATCCTTAGATGTTTCTAGAAAGTGCAGGTGAATAGATCCATATGAAGATAGTAAAAGTGCATAAGAGAGAGTGAATGATCAAGCTAAGTGAAGCTATTTTTTACTGCCAGAGAATGAAGGTCAAGATTAAAATCGTTTTGTCCTTGGGTGTTGATAGAGTGAAGGTGCATAGATGCCTATGATGATAGTGAATATAAGAGTGGAATTCCCACTTTAGATTGTGAAATCACAGTAATAACAAGTTCAAACATGTTGCATATTATATGGATTCCCTGATAGAATCTCAACCTCTTATTGTTTGGAGAATGAAATGCTTATTAAATTCTGCACCACCAATTTTGTCCATTGAACTTCAACTATGAAGGATGTTTTGACCTCTTTCTCTCTTCTTAACCCTTCTGCTCATGAGAACAGGAAAAGCAAATTAATGGCATTCCATGTTGTTGAAAAGATCTAGGGTGAGAGTGAGAACATGACTTCCTTTTGTTGCTCAACGATTTTCTTTTTTGCTTGATATCCATTTAGGAAAAGTCATCATAATTTCCCTCGCTAGTTCTTAGCAGTTTTGAAATATCTAAACATCTTAGAAATGGAAGGTATGAATATGTAGAGCAAACTGCACTCCAGGCTTCATAGGCATCAAGAGTTCATTGACGAGAAGGGGCTTGGGAAAAATTGTTAGGATTAGCCCAAGTTTAGTTTAGGTTATTACACAAGACATCACAATATTGTAAATGCCTATATATAGGCATTGTATAAGATGTATTAATTTGGGGGAAATTTTGAATAAAGCCTTAGGATAGTTTTCCTCCTCCCAAAATCTGTCTTTCTTCCCTCTTCTCCCTCTCTCTCTTGTAAGAAGAGCTCAAGAAGCTCTCAAGATTCTTCCAAGCATTCCCAACAAAAATTCAACCCAATTCTTATAATGATGGATATAAACTCAGAGAGATTCCAGGGAAATTTATATTTGTGTATTGATAATGCTTTTCTCTATTTCTCGAAGCATGATCTCTCCATAGATGAAGACCAAAAAGTTCTTTAGTTAATTTGCAGGTGGTCCTTTACATTATAGATATATATATTAGCGATAGCCTACTTAGTTGGAAGGATGTGCTTTTCCTCTTTCAAATGAACATGCCTCTGTCAGTACTGCAGCTTGTTTGATAAAGAAACTCCCCACGCATGAGATTCTTCTTAGACCTTGGGCTCAAGATCACTAGGTTAATGGTGTATGGCGCGGACCAGGTCAAATTTTAAGTAATAGAGCTGGGGTTCGGACAAAGAAAGTTTTGTCCATTTTTAGAAGCAAGGGGAGGGAGGAAACAAGTTTATTCTGGTTTTTCTGTTGATTTTGTTTCCTTTTCAACAGGAAATAAACAGTCAACTACTAGGGATGGTCTTCTGCTTCTAGAGCGACATCAATCACTTATGTGGCGGACAACCTTTCTTTCTTGCTTGCTCACCGGGTTTTGACCATGTTTCCCAATAAATTTCAGCATACGTTCTCATGAAATTTTTGCTTCACCTTATGGAAATAAATGCTAATTTATGTTTGTTCGGGAGAATATTAAGGTTTCGTTTGGGACAACTTTTTCATTACTTTTTAAAATAATTTTTTAGTAAAAAAATTCTAATTCAAAATTGTTTTTAACTAAAACATTGTTTTAGAAAATATTAAGAAAGCTATCCCAAATAAACTCTAAGACAGTAGGATTGCTAGTCTGTTAATAATGCGTATACGATAGTTGAGTTCAATTTTGTTGCCTTTCTGATTCAATTTTCATAGGACAGTGCGTGATGCATATAGTTTTCTTTTCCTGAATCTCCATAAAGTCCCTTCTATTTGACCATAATCTCTTTTGAATCACATTTGCTTGTCCACAGAGAACAACCAAAGTTCTCCTACTTGGGCAATTCAGAGCAAACTTTTCCTATATGGTACCATTTAAAGGGTAATCGATGCTTATAGAATTTCAGATTGGGTTCTAAGCAGATGCATACTGCTTGGCTTGTAATATTTCTTATATGTGATCAACTTCTATAATATGTTGGATTAGGAGAAATAAGAGGAACAACAACACAGATGAATTTATTTTTAAGGTTTATTACATGTAAGCATAGACGAATAAATCTTTTGGTATAACATATTAAAGTATGCATTTCTACTCTATTTAAGCTTAACCTCCCTCACCCACAAACTTCTCATTTGTTCTTGTCTGTCTTTCAAATTCATTTTGCAGGACGAATCTGAAAAAGAACCTACTGTTGCTGATGGCCTAGATTATGACAGCTCAAGTGATGAAAGCATTCCTTTTTCTGAGGATAGGTTACCTTCAGCTGTAATTGCTTCCTTGGAATTTTACAAGGAAGCTTTGGCAAATAATGATCAATCCAAAGTTGCTGAACTAGAGACCTTCTTTCAGTCCATTGAAGATGAGAGGAACTCTCTTGAGGACAAAGTTACCTCCTTGTCAGACGAGTTGGTAGTCGAAAAAGACCGCATACTAAGAATTAGTGCTGATTTTGACAATTTCAGGAAAAGGACAGAGAGGGAGCGGTTGTCACTAATGGAAAACGTACAGGGAGAAGTTGTAGAGAACTTGCTGCCAGTTCTGGATAATTTTGAAAGAGCCAAAGCTCAGATCAAGGCCGAGACAGAGGGAGAAGAGAAGATTAATAGTAGTTACCAGAGCATTTATAAACAGTTTATGGAGATTCTAACCTCCCTAGGTGTTGTAGCCGTTGAAACTGTTGGCAGTGCATTTGATCCCATGGTAAGTTAATTTCTCATGAATTGTATTTTTCATATCAATACATATATGTGAAAAGGTTGGAGTAGCTCCAGTAGAAGATAAGATTAGAGAGAGTCGCCTTAGATTATTCGGTCACATAAAACGGCGGCCTTCCGATGATCCGGTTAGAAAAGTAGAGGTATTAGATTTGACTTATGTTAAGAAAGGTAGAGGCAGACCTAAAATGACTTTTTTAGAAAATATTAGAAATGATCTTTCTTTATTAGATTTAAACGATAATTTAACTTTTAGTATGATTCAATGGAGAAAAAAGATTCATATAGCCGACCCCACGTTGTGGGATAAAAGCTTGATGATGATGATGTTGTTGTTGTTGTATATCAATACATAAAGTTTTAATTTTTCTTACCCGCTTAAGAAGAAGTTACATTTATTCCCTTTAAACCATTGGAATTCTCTCATTTTGATATCTATTGTGTAAAAGCTTCATGAAGCAATAATGAGAGAAGACTCGGCGGAGTTTGAAGAAGGGATCATAATACAAGAATTCCGTAAGGGTTTCAAGCTTGGAGAGAGGCTTCTGCGTCCATCAATGGTTAAGGTGTCAGCAGGGCCGGGACCTGCAAAGCCTAAAGAAGATGAATCCACTGAATCAGATGAAGGCAGTGGGGAATTGGAACAAGAGAGTACCAATGAAAGTAAGGAAGCTTAGTGGAATATCAAATTTTGTAAGATCTGTTACATTATCATGGTTTGTGAGCTTTTAGAGACTTAGGATAAATGGCTATTTGTTCTGTCCCTACTTGATAGGATCTTTCCTTCACACTTCTTGGCATGAAAGTCTAAATGGCATGTTGTGATGCGTACAGTAAAGAAATTACTGTTATGTTCAAATTGATTCAGGGAAAGCATTCGAAGCATGAAAGTTATTAACTGATGATCCTCTTTTTTTTTTTAAAAGCAAAATTGAGCAGAAAGTTAGCAAGTACATGACTTCAAATATGGACTATCTCAAAGGACCATAAAATTCTCAACTGCTGATGCATTCTTCTCAAGTACATAACCTATCGTTTCTATATCTCACCTTCTGTGTTGAATATAGGGCTGTTAATATTTGATTCGACCCGAAAATTTGACTTGAATTTGACCCAAAAATTTTGGATTTGGGTCAACCCAAGCACGAATCGGGTTGGATTCGGGTTAGGTTTGACCCATTTGTAAAATCGGGTCAGGTTTGGGTTGACCCAGAAATCTGAAATTAAATCGGTGTGATCCGTTTTTAATTGATTTAGGAGGGTTTTAAAATATTATTATGAAATAAATAAATGTTATTTCCAAAAAATAATAAATTATTTTGCTCAAACTGAATTAAAGTTGGTTTATTTTAAATTAATTGAAGTAAATCATACTTTAATTTGATTTAGGTTTAAACAAATCAAATTAAAAAAAAAACTTTAGTAAAACATACTCAAATCGGGTCGGGTCAGTTTCGGGTTGGACCCGAATTCGACCCGTGACCCGATTTTGACAGCCTAGTTAAAGATCTCTTCTTTATGAGAATATCTTGGTGCACTTCTTGATATGAAAATTATAAAATGAGTTTCCTTTTTGCAATCAGCTTCATAATGTGAGATAAAGATCTCAATCAAACAGATTATATTACAATATTATTAGTATTTTCTTTTGCTCTGAGTAACATGCATTGAAGAAACTCTGAGTTATATTTTTATTTAATTAATATATTATTGGTTGTTGCCCATTAGTGTAAAGAATCAATATATAAATTATTATTTTGGGACATTTAGACAAATTAAAGTATACAGAAGCTTTCAATCAACAGACCAAGCTGAATTGTATAATATATGCAAAATTTAAAAAACATAGGGATAATACCTTATGACTTTAATAGGGAAAACATAAGGACTAAATAGGCCATAAAATGATAAGCTATATTATAATAAATAATAATTGTAATGTGTGAAGTTAAATTTGATTTTATAATATTTTAAAAAACAAAATGACTTGGATCTTTCATAAATAAAGCTACTCAATAACATATTTTAGTACTTTTCAGAGATAATGAGATGCCTTAGAACATAACATTAATTGGATGAAAGGAACCACTGTGGCATCTACGCGTTAATATCAAAAACATGGTTACAATGTCCATAAAAGGAACCTCCGGCTTTCTAATGCTCAGAAGAGCTACAAAATAAAACCTAAAAGCTGGTGATTCCTTATGCTAAAAATTACAAAATTATCTAATAACAAACTAGGGCTGCAGGAGGACAGCACCCAAAAACGAAATATCAAGTGATAACAATTTAGCACGTACTTCCTGCAAAAAGAGATGATCGATCCGTAGATAGCAAAATTGGCTTGAGTGTCCGAATAAAGAAAGTCAATAAGCTTCCATCCAAGAAACCTACAAACAAAAAACTTACAAACTAAAAAGTGAGAATACATTTAAAAATAAACAAGATACCAATAACCCAATCCAAAACAGCAAACCAGCAGCCATCATAACTCTTAAATTTTATAGTAAAAAAGTTATATTAGAACTTTTTGACTATAAAATTTAAAATATTTGATAAAAAAATAAGTGGTTTATACCTACAAATAAAAAGTTTTAAGAAAAAAAAAAAATTAAACAAATCATTTTGCAGATCATTGGTGGGTTATGCGTCAACCCATACCTAACATGTCTAATAAAGGAAATATAAAACCCAACTCTAATCCCACTCATTTATTAATTGGGTCAATTCGACCCAAATTTCTCTGATGAGATCGAGTCATTTCTTGATACTCATAAAAAAATTAGGAGGCATGGAAACTTTTTTCCTATTAAAACAAATACATTTCATTTATTGGAAATAAAATTACAACTCATTCAAACCCACACAAAAATGTTGATAAATTAGATGCACTAAAAGCAAAGATGAAATGATATTGATTGAAGATGAAGTTATAAACAATTATGAAACTACGCTGGATAAATTATAAAACGGAATTTTAAAATAAGTGAAAAATAAAAAATAAAAGTTCTACATCACAGGCTAATCCAAAAAAATATGAAGTATTAAAGTTAGCTCAAAAAAATGTTTGAACATAAACATTTAAGTCTATTTGACATCTTTGGAGTATAAGGATTACCATACTAGTTTCATTAACAAAGTTTTTAATATAATTTTAAATAAAAAAAGTAGATGTTAATGATTGCATGAATTATGTATAGAAGAATCAAACTTATAAGCATATTATAAAAAAATAATAAGAGAAGTAATTAAATAACTATATTTATACAAATTATGTCAAGTTTTACTAATTTTGAGAAAACATGATTATATATATAAAATTAACTTCAGATCTAAGAAAATATCAACAATTATCGATTCATAATGCTACCTTGAAATAGTTGAGATAAAAGCTACCAGTTATTCATACACTCAACAATATTGAAACACTTCCCACCGTCATTTGACCTTTCTTTGTATTGTTTTATGATAAGCTATACAACTCAATAAAACTTTAGCAGAAACTATGCAGAGATGAATATGGTTTCTTTTGGGCCAATTTTTTTCCTGTTTTATTTTACAGGCTGCAATCATAATTTCTATTTGGCATCTTCTTTTTTGTTGCTTTTAAAAAAACATTGTATTAGTTTTAAAAAACTATTTATTCTACGACAAATTTACAAAACAGTAAGAAAATCATTCTAAATCCTAAACAAAGTCTTAAGTATTACAAAGAACACTGCTACACTTCTCAAATCAAGACACAAAAAAATTGAGAGAGTTGATAACCAACAATGTAACACTTTTAAAGAATGTCAGCATATTACTAAAAGTTGGCAGCATGTTAATAAAGTCATCAGCATATCACTAAGACTTAGTTTGAGATAGTTTTCTCACAGCTTTTTAAAGTTACCTTTTAGTAAAAAATTAATCTTTTTTGTATTCCAAAGAAGCGGTAAAAAGAGCCGTCCCAAACAAGCTTTTTAGTTGCAACAAAAATACAAGTTGCGAGAGAAACTGAGATTTACTTATTTGAAAAACTCAAAGATGCAGTACTTGCACTGAATATTAAACTGTATTCTTCAGATGATTTCAGATCCCTCTACAGCAAAAGTTTTTTTTTAATAATAAAATTTCTTTGATATAATAAGAGGGAACTCTAAAATAGATCTCTAGTAAAAACTTGTAATTAAATTTACTAATATATGATGGAGAAACCCGAAGGAGCTGGAACTGAAGATAGGTCTCTGAACCAGAAAACTTATAAAAAATGCCGACTTGAAGAAACGATCCATATATGTCATTAGAGTTCAAATAAAAAAACAATCTTTATCCAAATCCAAGTTGAATAAATCATCATATATGAATCTTAAGATCTTGATATAAACTGTAAGTTACAAAGAATACTTTAGAATAAAGGTGTAAATAGCAGGTAAAAAGACACATTTTATGAGCTGAGGCAGCCTAGTATATATGAATGAATGATTCTAATATATTATATACAAAAAAAATCGTCACACTTGGTACCAAAAACTTGAAAATTCTAATCAAACATGACAACAGATCTGAGATTTCCGCTGAAACCGTGCATTTTAACTTGAATTAATATGGAGAAGAAGCAAAAATATTGCCAACGAAAGAATTTAGTACAGAGAGATAAGAAACATTTAACAGATATCCAAACTCAGTTTCACCAAAAATGGAAAATTGATGAGTACCCTAATAAGCTTCTTCCCTTAACATTAGTTTTCAAATGGGATTTTTTTTTCTCAGTTTTTCATCCTCTCTTTTTGCTGCTAGGGCTTCGCTCTAACCGCCCTACTTACCGCTCACGACAATTGTTCCGGTTTCGGATTTATTGTTGCCCTTTGTCTTTATTTTGATTTTGGGATGAAGAGGTTCTTGATCTTGCTGCCCCTTTCGAATTCGCTTTGGTCTGTAATTTTTTTCAGTTGAACGCCTTCTCTCAAAGCTATACAAAAAATTTTCTTCAACCTTAAACTAAGCGGTGAGTTTTCGGTCACCCTTCTGGATCGATGCTAAGCATGTTTTGATCAAACTTAATAATGATATGGATTACAGTAGAATTTTTGCTCATATAACTTACTTTATTTTTAATTGTTATATAAAGTTGATCAAATGGTTCTCTTTTTTTGACATTACAGTGGGTTCCCCCATTATCCCAATCTTGGATTTCTTTCCCTAACCTTAGACCCATTTGTTTTCTCCCCGAATACTACACGACTTGGGATCCTTGTTTGGTAGCACTCTAAAAACTGATAATGCTACTTCTATTAGGTCTTATCCTTCGGTCATTCGGGTGTTTGTTGAGTTAGACATAACTAAGTGATATCCATCTTCAATATGGTTGTGGCCTGAAAAATTCGGTTATATTCAACATGTAGAAATGGAGGAATTTCCTCGTATTGTGATCACTGCAAGTCGTTTGGGCACATGAAAAAAAGAATGTATCCTCCTTGATCCTCATTTAAGTAGGGATTCACAGACTATGGCTACTGTTATTGCTGCATCTACTTTGCCTATTCAGAAAAATAATAATGGTAGTAATAATATTAACACTCATGGTATTATGCCATCTCCAGATAATGCTAATGATTTGCGGTTAATGATGGTAAGATTAATTCTATGGAAAACTTAGTTCCTTCTTCTAGATGATGTGAGAATCAATTAGCTAGCTTTATCCCTAATAGAGATCTAGTGGAACACCGGCTTGGCTATAGTTTGGAGAATGTGACCTTTGGTGACATTGGCAAAGGGCTTCTTGCCAACTATGGATGGCTCCTGTTATTTTTAGTAATTGTTTGGATGTCTCGAACAAGGTGCCTATAATTAACTTATCGATTTTCCCTATCTCCCTTGAAGTGGTTATTAATCTGGATAGTGGGAAGCATTTGTTGAACTT